TTATTACCCCCATTTTACAGATGGGGAAACTGAGGCACAGAGAGGTTAAGTGTCTTGCCCAAGGTCACACAGCAAGTGAACGCTGGAACTGGGACTAGAACCCAGGTTCCCTGACTCCCAGTGTCCTTGAAACTGGACCACACTGCTTCCAAAGAGGCATCCCCAGACTGGCTTTGAATTAAAGACGGACAATGTCGGATGAGGTTTGGGTGTGGTGGTATTTCCCGCGGACGCGTTAAGATGGAACCTGAGGTGTCGCCTGGGTTGGTTTGGGCATGCAGGTGTATGTGTTAGTTTAAATGGGGGTGTCTGAGCTTCCTGTCCTGTCCACATCTCCCTGCATCCTGCACTGGTCACTGCAGAGAGTGGAGCTGGATGGTCAGGAGGTCATGATGGACTGGCATATATAAAAGGAACTTTGTCAGCCCAGTGCCAAGGGGCCTGCCAGTCTTTGGTAGTTCAGGTAAACTAGGGATGCAGGACTTTGGAACGGAGTCAGCTGCCCACCTTACGCAGGTCTGCTTAATCTTTTTATTAATTTTTTTTTTTTTTTTTACTGGCCAGCATCAGGAAGTTGTGTTCATTTCATTTCTCTGTGGGGCGGCTGCCCCCCTCCTTTGCTCTCTCTCACTCTTTCCCTTTCTCTGAGTCTCTGCTTGGAAGGGAAAACTGTTAAGCCTTGCTCGTTCCCTTTCATGAAAAGGAGTCACCACGAGCAGCGTCCGTGACAGGAGACCACGGCTCCGCAGTTGAGCCACGGCCCTGCTTCCACCTTCCGGAGGAGTGCTTTGCTTGGAAGGGGTCTCTCTGGGGCCTTGGGTTTGCTTTTTCCTGCATTTCTCCCGAAATGCTGTTTCAGTAGAAATAAGCCCACTTGAGACTTTTCCCTTTCAAGGCCTTAGCCACAAACGCCTTCCGACTAACGAGCGTGGTGCTGTAGCTCAGGCAGAAAATTCTAAAGCATCCGTTCAAGCATCTGAAACAAACGAATCAGCCAGTGAAATCTCATCTGTTAGCATCTGTTCTTCCCTTAGAGGAAAAAAGAAAAAAAAAAAGCCTTTTTACGGCTTTAGATGGAATCATGCTTTTAAAAAAAAGACAAAAATTTCTTGCTCATTTTTAGACTGAGGTGACTAGGTAACAGGTGTGGGGTATTCTACAGGTTCAATGTTTGTGGAGTATCCCATTCTCCTCTATCTTTATGCCCGAGCCTCTCCGAGGGGGCCACATCAGGGACTGAGAGTCATTTGATTCCGGTCCACCACCCACATTTCTACTGGGCCACCTACACCACCACCTGCCAGCGGGGGCTCAGGCTTTCACGTTATAAAACCTAACCACCTAATTCTTTGCAAGCTGGAAATGACGGTCTCCTCCTTAAACCCAACTTCCAAACAGGTAAGAAAAAAAGAAAAGAAAAGAAAAATCTATCCCTCTCAAGTCCTCCTGTCCTGAAGATGGGCAGGCTCCCATCTGGGATGAGTGGGGAACAGTCTCCCCTCAGTCCACCGGAGTGTCTTTTGCAAAAAGGAAATCCTCGAACGTTGAAAGAAAAAGAAATGAACAAAACTTTCCCCACTCTGGGGTCTTTTTTCTTTTTCTAATCCGTGAAATACTGGACTAACGAGTGTCTGTATACTGCAGTCCTCATCGGGAAGACCTGAGGAGGCATTACTATTTGCTGGGAAGGGGACAGAGTTTTCGTGGCTGCAGAGCTGCGTTCCTTTATTTACTTGCTCCTTGTGGAAATTTGCAGGTCACTGGGATGCAGCAACAATGGATGAAGAGCAAAGGCTGAGTCAAACTAAAGTGAATATGGCACGTAGGGGATGAGTGAGAGGAAAAAAAAAAAAAAAGCCTGATGCAGCTTCTCTCTGATTCCCTCTGGAGAGGGGCTGGAGAGAAGGCTGGCTTTAATGATGAAGATGGATGGGCGGATGGAAACTGCACACTCATTCAGACCACAGAGGCCAGAGGACACCAGGTGCCAAGCTCCTACCCACAAGTGGATCCAAGAGGTCCTCAAGCCACCCCCCTTCATGTAGAAGGGGCCCTGCAGTTGGTCTGAACAGAGGAAGACCAGATGGAGCCCACAGAGTTGATAACCAGAGTGCATCTGTGCGCCCTCCGACACCATTCCAATGCGGGAGGGGGGGAGGGGGGGGGACAGAGCACGTGGACCAGCTCTGATCCTGCTCAGACAGACTGCACCCTACGCCGCACAAGCACGCACTGGCCTACGTCTTGACTCCTGTGCTCACCTGACACCCACACTCCATTTTTCATTAGTAATTGGGCTTTCAGCCTCCTGGCGCCCCTGGCACAGGGAGGAGCAATTCATCCCACTTCTCGACAGGCCGCGCCCACCTTGGGGAGCTTTCTTGAGGATCTGTGTAGTCATCCTAGTGCCATGGCTGATCCGTTTCTCCTCCCACTGCCATCTGACTCCGCTTCCCTAACTGCCACATCGTCACGTAATATTTCCTCAATGCAGAAAGGAAGTGCCTCGTCGCGCTAATTAAATGAAGAGTGACAAATCACATTTGAAGCCCTTTCTAGAGCACAGGAGACCAAACATGTAACGAGAGCTATCCTTCAAGGAAACAAAAATTTTCTGTTTTTAATGTTTGCTGCAGAATCGAATGCATTTTCAGAACGTATCTGTCAAGATTATGAACACAACTTAATTTCCTAGGCCGGGTACTCAACATAAATTATAGTCACAGCCTCAACTCCCAATGGAACCGTGTGGAAATGTGTTGATATTGGCATCTAACCGGAGATATTTTAATTTCACCAAGGAAAGGAAACTTTCTGTAAACAACGAAACGAAAAAATGTCCAGGGGCAAAACATTATTGTGACACGATGTAACAGAGTCTTTTTAACCCATGATGTATACATGTAGCTTCAGCATCATTTGAACCCACCCAGGAAATGTGATTATTAATTACGTAGCCATGTGTTGTTGTTCAGGTTTTTAAAACATCCAAACACTATATCCAGCCACCAGGGCAAGCCCTGAAGCCATCTAATTGGGAAGCCTTGGGGGCTCAGCAAAGGTATAAGCCTGTATCCAGATGGTCATCATACATGCCTTCCGCAGAAAACAGAAGGCTCTCAGCGCAGCGCTACCTTGCTTACTGCGAACTACGACACAGCCATCCACGAAAGAGTATGTTTCCCCCTCCAGAAAAGTCGTCAAGCCCCAAGAACTAGAATCTGAGAACAGCAAGCAGTTCCCTACAAGGAGGGGGATCACGACACTCTGGAATTTGGCCCCCTAGTCCTCCAGGCCCAGCGCTGCTTTAGGGAAAAGCCTGCAGAAACATGATCATCTCTCCCTGCCCTTGCACCCAGTTTGGTCACACCGCCCTCTAGAACGTATGGACCAGACCTGCTCAAAGTTTGCAAACACATCTTTTCAGTTTGCTTCTCTCTAAGGCTACTTGTGAGCTGTGATCAGGAGAAAGGCTGTCACTTTCGTAAACTGGATGGGTCAGAGGTGAAAACTTTACTCAAATTCTGCAGGCTGAGATGGCAATCAGCTATTCAAGCCTGTGATTCACTGAACTCCCTTTAGGAGATGTGATCAGAGGAAGAAAGATCAGAAATTGTCTTTGGTCAGATTCAGCATCCATCCTTCCCCCCCCCCCCCCCCCCCCAGCGCTGTCTGGGCAGAGCCCAGGTTGCATCATGAATCAACAGGTCACTGTCACACAAGGTCATCTCCTAGCCCGCCATATGCACACACCCCACCCTCCTTCCTTCACGCATTCATTGTCATTCATGTTCATTCTCTCTCAGGGAGATCACAGACAAGCCTTCACTTTGGTAATTACCATCACTGAGAACACAAGACAATGCAGGGCATTTTCCCCCAGAAAAAAAGCAAAAGACTATTCCATGTTGAACCTTACCCATACCAACAAGGCCCAGTTTAAGACAAATGGTGATAACAGGGACATAAAAGGAAAACGTTATCTTATGCATAATGGACTCAACATGCTCCGGACAGCAGAGATGACAGGGCTTTTGACCAATTTGGACAGTTGTTTCTGACAGCTTGCCAACCTCTGTAGTTCCACTTTTGTAGTCCTTAGCATCTTTTCCTCATTCCTTCTCCACTCTGCTTTCTCAGTCACAGCACTCACAGACTTCCCTTCCTAGCCCCTCTCCGTGCAGGTCTCCACTGGGACTCCCTTTCCCCACACACCTGCTTCCCACCAGGGCTTTGGGCTTACCTAGGATTCTACACCCTTGAATGCATGGACCCTAGCTAGAACCAGAGGTTCCTGAAACCACATCCCCCCTCCAGGTGCCTGGGCAGGGCCCGGGCAGGTGAAGGGACCAGAGGCTGGCTGGGTCGAGAGAGAACAGCATTTGCACAGCAAGCCTCACGGCCATCAGGAGACGACACGCAGAGACAGACACACCGCACGCACACACACACGCACATACACACTCGCACACACACTCACACACGCACACATGCACTAGGAGGTGATGGATGTTACTGAGATGGACCGAAAACCAACAAGCAGTGGGGTAAGGAACAAACAGAAACAAAACAAAGCACTTGCGTTCAGATGGAAAGCTGTTTCGTGGGCGGCTAGGGCCCGAGCCCGAGGCTGGGGGAAGGTGGGTGCCTGCTCGGAGGACGCTGCCTTTGGAGAAGCCCTGGGGGAGACAAGGCATGAGGGCAGCTCTGGCTCCCCTCCCGCCAGGGATGTGCCTCGGCCACTGTCCTGGAGGCCCTGCCCCACGGGGCCGGGCCACGGTGGACGCGGATGCAGGGGCACGCCAGAGAAAGCAGGGAGGGGGAGGCACTTACCTGGTGGCCCAGAAATGGCTAGTCCACATTTGGGGGAGTGTGCAGTATCTCAGTTTAAACAAAATCCTGGTGGTACTGCTCAACCATGAATAGTCAGCTCTCTAGTATTTCAAATAAGCTCGTAAAATCGTTAGTGAAAAAGAGAAAAAGACAAAACAACAATTCACCTGTAGGGCAATTGTGCTGCTCTTCGCGGGGTATTTTCCCACCAGTCCTTGTTCTTTCCGTTTCTTGAATTTCCTAAAGTAGTCCTGTATCAGGAAAGTGGCATAGAACTTCCCCACGGTTACCTCATCATCTAAACGGAGAGACCAGACAGAGCTCTCCCGAATCAGCATATTTGCAGCAACAGCCTTAACACTCACTTCTGGCTGGGGCTGGGGGAAGGGCAAGACGGGGCATGAGGCACTGAGCTCTCGCTTAGGACACTGGGAGACTAAATCTAGCGAAAAGCAAGGTTGTGCAAAGCAGTTAAGGCTCAAAATTAGAGTCAGTTAAATAAACTGATGCTCAAAATTGCAGAAAATAATACACTTGTCATGAGTTTAATAGAGCAACATATTAGTAACACTATGAAGTGCCGCCTTGGTTACTGATTCAAAATAAAAATTACAAAACAAAAAAAGGCTTCATGGGTCATATTTTCACCCCTGCGCATAGGGATTTGCATGTGTAATTACCACGAACACCCAGGACAATTAACCATCCAAATCCCAATGCCTGGAGATAAAGATAGAGACCTCAGAAAGGTGACAGACAGGCTTGGAAGGAGAGGACATTTCTGAAAAGTGACTGCAGACCCAGATTTACATGTGCCCCCTTAATTCTCTGCCAATAGCCTCCACATGTCATTTCTTGGTTTGTAATTCAGAACTGCTTGTTTTCGATACTGCAAGTGACAGCTCCAACTAACCTCAAAGTTGAGCTGACTTATTTCTGCTTTGTTCAGAAACAACCCCATCGTGTGTGGCTGGGGAGCTGGAACTCTGCCGAGCGTGATTAAAGGTGATGCATGAGGCAGAATAGGGGCTCTGGCTGTCTCCTGGGAAACCACCCTGGCAGTGGCTGTGTGCCCAGGGGTCTCCACAAGGCCTGCTCACCCCCACATCTGTCCAGGGCCCCCAGGGGCTACTGACCACGGTTCGCAGAGGCTGGGAGGAGGAACGGCTGCTGCCCTCAGGCTTTAGCACAGCTACACTTGTGGCCAGGCTGCCCTCGCAACTTACGTGCCATCTTGGGTAAGGAGCTCGGCCTCTCTGGGCTTGCGTTCTCACCCGTAAACAGGCCTAAGCCTCTCGGAGGAGGAGCTGTGAGGATTACGGGAGAAGAGGCCCCGCAGAGCACTCTGGGTGGTCCTAAGTGCCAGGGGGCGGGGGATGGTGAGCCAGCAGAGTCACCGTTATTTTACAAACTGCCAACAGTGGCATCCACTGAAATGGATCATAGAGCATGATGGGGTGGGGGACCCTCCTGGGTGGGGTGCATCCTGTGGCCGTGAGGGGGGTATCCCTGTCTGGACACTGCTGGGCCATTCTGGGCTTCCCACGGCCCCCAGCTTCCTTGTCAGAAGCTACTCAGTGTTACAGTGTGAGAAGACGCCTGGCGGTGGTCAGCCTTGAGAAGTGTGTTGCATTCCTTCTAAACCCGAGCCCGGCAAGTCTGGGAACGGTGTAGGGGCCACCAAAGTGAACCTAGGGCTTTGGGTAGATGTGAAACCAGGTCCCTCATCAGTCTCGGGCTGGTCCAAATGGTCTAACAACGCACTGTCCAGAGGCAGGAAGGCGAGAGGGGAGTGGACAGAGGTTCCATGACTTGCCCCAGGCCAGGTGAGTTGGGATGTGGGACCCCTGGGCCTGGGCTCTCCTTCTTTACCCCACCACCTCCCTGCTCCACCACAAGGGCCACCTGCTCCTTTGGGGCCACCTCTCCCAGAGTACAAGTCTACCTCCCCACCGGGCTACATGCAGGAGGTGGACCGACTGCGGCCTGAGAATCCCAGGGGCAGCCAGCCTCTGCCGGCCAGGGTTTCCAGTCTTCTCTGTGGGCTCCCACAAAAAACACTGGCTGTACTCACAGAAGGCCCATCTCATCCCATGCTGGGATGCTTCCAGCAAAAGCAGGCCTAACCTTTCTCTCCCTGCCACCTGGATGGTGCTAGCCTAGAGGGGCCAAGGGGGCTCCTGTGGGAGGGTCTTGGCTCTCCCTGGCCCAGAACCTGGGGGGCAGTGTACTCAGTGAAGAGGGCAGATCAGGTTTCTGCCCAAGGGGCAGCTCCAGGGCAGAGGTGCCCACTTAGGGCTCTACAGGGCAGGCCTCTCAAGGGTCACTTGGCCTTCTGCACTGAGATGCTGAGCTATTGAAACTGGGCCCAGGAAGAATCTTAAGAACAGGAAAATTCAAAGCCACAGCAGGTCAGAAAAGGAAGGAAGAGGAGCGCAGGGAGGCCGTCTGGGCTCAGGACTGCAGAGAGCGACGGGGTCGGCTCTGAGCGCTTCTCAGGGCAAAAGGGCCCAAGATCCAGGTCCGGGGCAAAGGCCCAAAGACAAAGAAGCGCCCCTGGGAGGAGGAGGGGCTTCTAAAGGAGGGGGGAGATCCACGAAACGGCAGGAGACTCCAGAGTGGAGGTGAGGACACGAGCAAGAGCCAGATGCGAGACCAGACAGCTCAGCGTGGAGGGAGCAGAGAGGCTGTCACCGCGGCCAAAGGTGCCGCGAGAGCCCGGAATTCTGGCCTGGGTTCCAGGCTCATTCCTGAGTATTGCCTCATCAAGCTCATGATGACCTCGGCGGGGAGTGGGGCTCACATCACCCCTGTGCTGGCAAAGCCTTCTAAGGTGGGCACCTACTCTGCTATGTCACCAGGGCTGTAAGGGGCCCCCGAGCGACCCACGTCGACCAGTCACAGGTGCACGGTTGGCCTGGCTCAGCTTTCTGCCCTCTGACCAGGTTACAGTGGGCGGGACACCGAGCCCCTCGGCCGTGGGTGCTACCCGTCCGCTGGCCCAGCGGGTCGTAAATATGCTCTCCTTTTCTAAGTGCTCCACGGTGTGGGAAAGGCTGGGACCCAGTGGTCTACTGGAAGGTAAAAGAGGAAAAACAAAGAGGCAAGGGGTGAATGCAGATGCTACAACCCTGCGCAGCAACTCAACCAGAGTCTGTCCACCGAAGCCTGAAGTTACCACCTATGGAAGTTCAGTGACGAGAGCACTTATTTGAGATTCAACCTGGATAAGCTCCAGCACATCCACAACCCATGCCATGGCACTTCTGGAGTTTTCCAGCCCTTATTGAGGCACTCTTTTTGTCCCAGGTTTCTCAGTGGTCTTACTGCCATGTTGGAAGAGATTAACCCTTGTCATCCTAACCCCCCAATCCATGCTAAGAAATAACAGAGAGAAAACCAGGGCCCGCTATTGGACCAAGAAAGCGGAAGGCTACGTAGCCTTCGTGAGAAGGCCAGTAGGGCTAAAAGCTGATCAGCTTTTCCAAGGAAGGGAGCCAAATTCTGGACTTTTCTTCTGGTGAAATGAAAAGAAAGGAAGTTTCACAGTAATGCGAATGACTCTCTCCAGGCGAGCCTTGCCAGGATGGGCGCTGATGTGAGAGAGACTGGGCTGTAATGAGGCTGGCGTTTCAAGAGGGACGGGAGGTGCGCGTGCCATTGAGGCAGGACCCCCTGGACAGGTGGGGCCCGCTACTCTGAGGCATGCATCTGCATCGTGAGAAACATGTAGGGGAATACAACTGGCAAGAGATAACTCCGATTCCATGCCACCACCCTAAAACAGAATTGCTTCAGAATATTCTGAAAGACTGATACTTGAAAGGAATGGAGGCTGCAGAAAAAGCTCAAGCACATTGTTACAACGATTGGAAAAAGCAATTCGTCTCAGCCATGCGAGCACCTGGGTGTGCAGCTAAAAAGAAAAGAACGAAAACCAAAGGGTCGTTTTAAGCGTGCAGCATCCGTTCTCCTGTGGAGAGCCAGGGTTCTCTCTCTAGGCGGGAGTCTTCATTTCGGTTTTGTTCTTTCAGTGTTTTGTTTTGCACAGTAGCCCTTTATCGTTTCTTTGTGGGCCATCTTTCCCAGCTTTGAGCTGGTGGCCCTGCCAGCTCCGGGCGGCTCCCTCCAGCCACAAAAAGCTCTGGATTCATGCCGGGGAGCGGAGCTGGCCAGCATGCTGCTCTCTCTGCCCCCGAGAGCCAGAGGTTGTCACCTTCTCAAAAGGAGAGGCCACCGTCCTGGCTCAGCTTCTGGACCTGAGCCAGCCCAGTCTGGCGGCCGCAGGAGCAGGGACACTATAAGATTTCAGTTGGTTACAAAATACACCAAACACTCCTACGTGCCCAGGGCTAGGGGGTAAAGTGCAGGCATGTTGGCACCGAGCAAACGGATCCTGCACCTTTAAAACTCGAAAATAAAAGTCAAAACACAATCATCTCCACTTGTAAGTCCATGTATACTTAGACAAAAATGGAAATACAGTATCTGTATTATATATATATATAGATATGTATTATATCTATATATATATAAAAATCTGAGAAAAGTTTAGTCAGTTATTTTATGATAGCAAAAGGAAATAAGCATGCCTGTTAGTTCCATCTCTAAATTCTAAACAAAGGGATGTTTTTGGTAATTATGGTAGCAGATCCAGTCTTAAGAACATTTCAAAAACACCATTTTCTGAAAGCTTTTTTTTTTGTGTGAGAAGTTTTCAACAGTATGTTGAAGGCTATAGGAAAACTAGTTTTAAACACTTCATTTTGGGCAAAAAAAAATACAGGCTTTTGGTTTTGAGGCAGCAAGCTTGTTCTCCTAATATTAATCCCTCCACCCACAAGAGAATCCCGGCTTCAACCATGTGGGTCTTGATATCCTTCTCACTGAAGCCTCTCCTTTGTCTGCAGTGGTCTTCACGTTACCCCAAATCATTACACCAATGGCTGAAGGGCCTTTAGCTGTTGGCCTCAATGCTCTGGCTGGTACCTTAAGCATTCTGCAAACACGCTGGGCTTCCTAGAGACTAGCATTGAAACCAATGTGCTGGTCAAGAACTACTTAGGAAAAAAATTGCACTGACCACCAGCTGGAGGGACAACTTGGTCAAGTAGTTTCATGCTGGTTTTCTTCCAGATTTTCTTGATCACAGCTCGGAGTTCTTCATTAGCTTGTTCTAGGTTCCCTGAATTCAAAAAGCAAGGAGCGGGGGAACAAGCCTTGTTTCTTTTGCCCAGCAATGCCTCTCTGTTCTCACCGGGGCTGCTGGTGGCCCGACTCACCTCTCAACCTTCCAGGATAAGGTGAAGCACGGAGGGAGGGGAGAAGGGTTGAGGGAAGCAGGTCCAGCCAGTGGGGCCAGCACAGATGTTCTCATTTCACATACCGCCCCATCCCCTGGGCGGGGGGGGGGGGGGGGTGTCCCCTCCCTGCCCCGCCTTTGACAAGAAGAGGCCCAGATGGGAATCAAGGTGGGATACGGCCTCCCCTTCCTCTTCTCCCACCTGTCCTGCTTCCAGGGAGGGCTCACCTTCCGTCTTGATTTTAAGAGCCGTTCGGACCAAAGCAAACAGAGTTGCATTAAACATGACTGTCCCATCACTGTTGAGCGGCATGTTCATGGCAACTAGTCTCTGTAAACAGAAAGAAAAGTCCCTTAATAGAACGCAAACGAATGATGACAGCTGCAGCCCTTTTCCTCGTTTGTTCTCTGTTTATCCCTCATCTCCTTTCTAATCAACCCTCGATTCAACTCAACAGCCATTTGGGGGGGCATCTACTATCTGAGGAGATCCGAGCTGACAAAGATCAAAGCTCGAGTCATGAAGCGCAAACGCGGGCACTCAGAAGATGCATTGTGTTTGTTTTTTAGACTCCCTACTGTCCATGCATTCCTCTCCCTTTCTCATTAACTGGCTCTCCCTGTGTCTTGGGGTCAGGCTTCCATTCTGGGCACATCCTTAAGGCTGTTTGGGGTTAAAGTGATGTACCAGGTATGATGAGCCAGGCACAGAGCCTGGGACAAAGGTCCTGAACCAACAGGGTCGATTACTTTTCCTATCGCAGGGAGTGTCCTTCAAGGACCCTGCCCTGGTGAGACCACTGTGGAGTGTTTTGTACAAGTCCATGCGGTTCTATGAGTCCAGTGTTTGGTCTTTCAGAGCTGGATCCCCACATCCTGCTTCTCTTTTCTCTCTCTTCGCCCCTGTAACACCACCACTGAGAGTTGGAGAGGACCTGGGTGAGTGAAACTGTCTGTGGCCCCAGTTACTGCAGATGCCATGCCCACAGCAAAGGGCTGTGCAAGGGTTAAAGGAGCTCACAGACACTTAAGACTCCAGCCAGGTGCCTGGCACGTGGTAAGTGCTAAATAAGTGGTACTTAGAACTTCTAACAGTTTCAAATTTCTTACTTTTGGCTGACAAGGTGTCCCAAGAGAAAGATTTTAAAACACTTTTCCTCCTCCCTATTAATGGACTGGAGTCTTGTGTACACATGATTCATCCCGCCTAAATTCCTAGTCCTAGGAGAGCCTGCACAGTCAACTTGCTTTTCCTGGCAAGTTCCTGAATCAGCAAAATGGACTACTTTGTGCCTGAAGGACACGTAGATCCTTTACATAAAAGGGTCTGGAAATGCAAACACAAAATAACAGCCATGAGCCAGAACCCATCTTGTTCTTGGAAACAGAAAAGAGGCTGATACTGGGAAATTTATGGGAAACAAGTCAACATCTGTGGCTTATTCTCTGCCTACATCCAGAGTCCAGGATGAGGAGAAGCAAAGACTCGGCGAGGACCCCAAGGACTTGCCAACTGGACTTCCAGCCCAGGGGACAATGAGTTTTGGCTCGGATTTCTCTGAAAGCCTGAAATACACTGTAGACTCCACTCTTCACTGTGGGTTCTGTCTAGAGCTAGCCCAGCATCCCTTTGGGGGTAGGGTGAACCCCCGACCCCGAATCCCCTCATATCTGTGGGAAGAGGGGACCAGTTGTTGCACAGACTGGCTGGATTTCTATAGGGCAGAGTTTCAACAGGCAAATCTTGCATTTCTCCTTTAAAAAGGGGGATCCTTTTCTATTGCTACAGCTGACTCAAGGTGGTTCAGTGCGAGTTCTATGAAAGGAAAACAAATCTCAATGAGAGCTCGCAGAGAGCATGGTCTGATGTGAAAACTTCAGGAATGGGGTAAGATGGTGACAGGGATAGAGTAGGATAATTAAATAGATAGCTTAAAAATCCCACTACAGGGGGACTTCCCTGGTGGTCCAGTGGTTACGAATCTGCTTTCCAATGCAGGGGATGTGGGTTTGATCCCTGGTCGGGGAACCAAGATCCCACATGCAATGGGCCAACTAAGCCCGTGCGCTGCAACTACTGAGCCCATGCATTCTGGAGCCTGTGCACCGCAACTGCTGAGCCCACGCGCCACAACTAGAGAAGCCCACACGCTGCAACGAAGAGCCCACACACCACAGCGAGAGATCCCACATGCCACAATGAAGACCCGACGCAACCAAATAAATTAATAAAAAAAAAATCCCACTAGGGGATTAAAGTCAGAAAGGGAATTCTAAGGGACTTTGGGAGACTGTTTAAACAGTGGGAGACAACTCAAGAAAAGAATCCAGTAACCAAGCAACAATCTACATATGTAGTTAAAGTACAAGACAATAGATATGAGATCTGAATCTTGTTATATGAAGTCAGGGAATTAATGGTCCTTGAAGAGTTACATTCCTGTGTGTAGCCAAGACAGGAATATAGATGAGAGGGGAAAGAAACTAGGTGAAAGGCGACATTATACCAAAACCTGAGATGAACTACCATGCTTTAGTATATGTTACCACCCTTTTGCTAATATACATATCATGTAAAGAGAGCCATGACAGTCCTGGTTAGACCACCAAGGGTTAAAAGAGGAACTAAGGATACAAGCCTTGACGTCTAGCCAAAAATGAGGAAGAAGGTGATCTTCTCCCCTACCCCGTTTTTCTCTGATTATAAAAATGTAGCCCTCTTCGTCCTCGGGGCTGCGCTCCCTTGCCTGCCCGCTTGTATCTCTCACAAGCATCCTATGCTAAGAAACTCACTCTTTGCCGGCCTCACGCTGAAATCTTTCTGCATCGAGACGAAAGAGCCTGAGTTTCAGTAAGTCCTGACACCAGGTGAGTGGTTTTAACTAAGAGACAGTGGGTTCAAGTCCCCTCCTAAGTCAGGAGTCGTGGGTTCAAGTCTCAATCTGAGGTGCGGACGGGTTCGAGTCCCGTCCGAGGAGGAGTGCGGTTTCAGCAGGAGATCTGTCTGAATCCATCCCCGAGACGCCACCGCCGGATGCACACGAGGGGCACGTCACTGTGTGCACCATCACACAAATTAGGAAACGTCCAGGCCACCAAGTCCTCTCCACTCTACTCCCTAAGTAGATCCCTAAGCCATCCCCTCCTCTCCACGCCCACTTCCCTCTGGCTCTCGGTACTTCACAGTGAGATAATGCAACAGCTCTCCTGGGTGTTCGCCTGGCCCTAGTTCACTTCTCCATTGCCAAGAGTCAACTTTCTAGAATGGACGTCTCCTCCTGTTTCTTCCATGGGACTCAGCATAGCACAGAAGGCTCCTCGCAGCTACCCTCAGCTTGGTCCTGAGGCCTTCTGCCACCTCCTCTTGCGTTCCAGCCACACCGACTCTCCATTCTCTTGCCTCCACGTCTGGGCTCCCTGGGCTCCCTTTCTGCGATGCCCTTCCCCCGTGACGAACTCCTACTTCTCTCCTGCTGGACCTGATGCAAATGTCTCCATCCCCTCCTTCTACCCAGTGACAAATTACACACTTCCCTTCCTATTCTTATTGCTGGCTGACAGGGTGACCTAAGAGTTACACAGCTGCGGACTCCTCAAGGACAGCAACCACATGTCATTCACCTCGGCATCTCCAGTGCCTGACAGCAGGCTCCACAGAACATCACTTAGTAAGGGTTTGTTGACTAAAGCAGGGAGTTCCTGCCAAGAGAGGCCGTCAGGGACGCCAACAGGACACCTACCTTGCAGGCTACCCTGTGTGGACACAATTTCCCGAACCCCAGGGGGGGCTGGATGCGGCGGAGCAGAGTGACCACGTCCAGGTGCTTGATTCTTCCCCTGGAGACAAAGTACGGCATGAGGCGCAGGGCAGCACCAGCAGGCCGGGGCTTTCGGTCCATCCCACCTTCCACAGGAAAGCACACCCAACACCCAGAAACAGCCCCCACAAGCCAGATGGAATTCTCTTCAACCTACTTTGCCTCGGGGTCATATTCGGACCATATTCTTTTGAATTCGTCTAAATGGTGAGGCCCCAGTATAGACCAGTCCCGGGTCAGATAATCGAAATTGTCCATGATGACAGCCACAAACAGGTTGATGATCTGTAAAAGCCAATCAAGAGGGAGTTTCAGCTGTAGTGGGATGAGCTGGGTTCAACCCTAGTGAGTGCTTCCTAATTATAAGGGTCACAAGACGTTTGGACCCATTTCTCCTAGAGAGGCTGAAAATCTTTCACTCTGGAGAACGTTTAAGAAAAAGGCAGACTTCTAGCTTTCCAAAATGGTTTGGGTATAGGCCCACGGGAGGGCAGGGGGGAATGTACTGTCTGACCTTTTGAAACACACTGCAGTGTTATAATTTGCCACCAAATAACTCACTCTCGTAAGTCACTACTATGTGCAGTGGCTTTGAGATTTTTTATTATAAAGGAACCAGCAGCCCTAAGAAGCTGGGATGGTGAAGCCTGTTAGCGAGCACCCAACCCCTGCTCACACCAAAGGTGCTAGTAACACAGGCCTCGCTCAGCAAAACCTCGACGGCCCAGTGGAGTCTAGACTGCTCGTCAGCATAAAAAACCCACAGCTATTTGACGGGGCAACGTCATTGGTCTGAATCCCAAATGCTACATGAATATGGGTCCACTGGTGGTAGGGTGGCTATTCTGATCACTTACCAGAAATGCGCAGAGCATGTAAAAACTGATGAAATAGACAATGGCAAAGTTGCTCCCGCAGGTGTGCTCCTCCCCGGGGTTGTAATCGGACTCGGGGTCACAGAGCTTTCCTGGGAGGCAGGCCAGCATGATTTCCTGCCAGGCCTCCCCCGTCGCACACCTTTATTTAGATTAAGCAAAGAAACAAAGAAGGCATTTGAGGCTTAGATCTTTAAGAAATTTTAAGAAAAAAAAATTTTTTTAATTAGACCAAAACCTAAGTACTTTGGGGGGAAAGCCAGTTTGATTTAGTGAAAATTCCTACTTATTTTCAAATGCAACTTACATCAGTAAGGGAGGCCCTGTTGCAACTCCCTTTGATTTATACCAGTCACTTGATAAAAGCACATCAATTCTTTTTGTATAAAGGGATGTTTTGTGGTCTTCTCTCCTTTAAACACTTACGTTACAATTTTTAAACGATTATTATTTTTAATGACCTAACATCTGACAACTTGATTAGATCCCCATTTGATTCTGTTGAAAGCAAAGAACTGGAAACTAACTTACAAAGAACTTGCTCTCCAGTCATTAGGACTTGCTTGTATGGTTTCTAGAAAGTTCTCTCACTTTAAGGCGCTTTGTTTACAAAGCTATTAAATGGAGTTTAAAACAATCCCATAAAGTTTGAAACTGCACATCTCAGGATGCTCCCCACTGACTGTGCAAAAGGCCTCTACATTCGTGCTAAATTTTCATTTTCCCGGTTGTTTGAGCACACGCGCCCATGTGTAAGCATACACCCCATACCTTCTCGGCGGCTCAGGAGACCTACTCACTCCCAAGTGGAAAACCTTAAGCCAATCACAATGGGAATGACCAAAAGCCTGCAAAATTCCTCTGTGACTAAAATGCTACCGTGTCTGTTTAATAGTACAAAACCAACAAATACAAAAGGCCACCACGACCAACTGCTTTAAGAACCCGGGTCCTCTGCTGCTCTGGAGCCCAGAACCAGAGAGACTTGCTCCGGGCTGGACTCAGTCACCTGAAGAGCAGCAGTACTGCTTGGGGAAAGGTCTGGAAATTGTTGTTCCTGTTGATCTGGTTGTTATCTCTCATGGCAACTTTCCCAAACATCTAGAGAGAGAAATTATTAGGGGAAAAAAAAGAAAAGATTTTGTCATACCGAAAAAAAAAAGAAAGAAAAAAAGCACACCCCTCCATATGTGAATTTAGAACTCAAGTTCGGTCGATACCCAGAGTCCCTGGAACTTTATTCATCCCACTAAGATATGCTGGGCTCGGTGCTAACCGCTGGGCACATTCTCAGCTCAAGGAGTTCCTAGCCTGGGGAAGGGATGCAAAAAGTAACCAGACCGGCAGCCTCTTCAGATGGGAGCTGGGCTGGTCCAGCCCGACGGGGAAGCACAGAATAGGCTCACAGGATCCCTGAGGCTGGGGCTGGGGTCAGGGAAGGCCTCCAGGGAGAGCGAGGTTAAGGCCCAGAACTGAAGGGGAAGGAGAAGCCAGCCAGGTGACAAGGAGGGTGAAGAATGCTCCAGGCAGAGGGAGCACGACCTGCAAAGGAGCAGAGGCGACGTGGCCCGGGTGCTCCAGGAAATGGAAAGAACGTGAGTGTGACGAACAGCCCAAGGACCAGGCTGCAGACAAGCCTGGATGGGGGGCCGGTGGGCCATGGGAAGGAGGGCTGGCTTTGCCTTAAGGGCCAGGAGAAGTTAGTAAATTCTTCACTCGTGGGGAATACAGAAGCAGACTGACATTTTCGAAGACCCTGATGGCCGGCAAAGACTCTTGAGTGAACGCCGGGGTGGTGTGCGAGATGCGGTTTCCAGTTCTCTGCGACCACTTAAGTTTTATATGAGGACGTTATGGCATAAAAGACCCTTTGGGGCCCATGGTGTCACAAGCTACTAAATTACAGGGGCTCAAGCACACTGCCTCTTTGTTCAAAACCCCTGGTAAAAGTCCTAGTCACTTGCAAATGCTTCTCTGCCTTCAGAATAAAAAAGCACGTACCACCATTTCTCTGCTGCGGGAATACTTCACCTCTTTTTTACGCACAGCCCTCCCTTACCTGAAAGGCTGCACCTGAACCAGCAGAGAGCGTGGCAGAGGGACCCCGGGGAGGTCCAGGGCCACAGGGTCCTCCACCTCCCTCTCCTCCAGGGGGCTCTGCCCCCTACCCGCCCACTTTGCGTTAGGGCTCAGCTGTTAGGGAAGCTCCTATGCCCCCTTCCCCACCTCAGGAGGAGCTGGGGAGCGTCCCACAGCCCCTCAGCCAGGACCAGGCCACAGAAGAGCCTGGTTTCACGCTTCTTTTTAGAGGGGCGCTTCTGAGGCAAGATAATGGCTCCAGTTCAGCCCCCGCATCTAGAAATAGTTTGTAATGCTTTCAGATGATAAACAGGCTTTTGTATCACTCATATCTTCTTAGCAACTTTGATGCAGAAAATAGGACAACTATGGCTTTTTTCAGTACAGCATTTGCTGTTGCTACAATCAACGATGGGTTTTCTCAATCAGTTGGCTCCCCTCAGACACAGGTTGGGGGTGGGGAGTGCCCTAAACCCAGCTTCCTCTGACATATTCCTTCTGAGCCCGGCTCTCGCTGGCACAGGCTCTCTCCTGCAGGGCCACGTCTTTTTCATCTTTATAGCTCTTCAGCAGCCAAGGCGTCCGGCTGAAAACGCATGACCTGTCTGTCCAGTCCACCTGGCCAAGGTACAGCCTGCCAGAGATCTGGGGCGACGTAGCAAAGGGGACCCGGGGGAGAGGTGCTGGAGCGTACCTGCATGCCGATAACCGCGTAGATGAAGAACAGCATGGCGATGAGAAGGGCGACATACGGGAGCGCCTGGAAGAGAAGCAGTGCTTGGCTCAGCGCGAGCATCCTGTCCCCCTGGATGGCTTGGGGGCAGACTGAAGGCCCGCATGGGGCACAGGCTCTATTCTTTTCCATGTTATATTGTAAGGACATCAATAGTGAGGAAGAGCTTTTTAAACCCCAGCCCGGCAGCCCGGCTTCAGCCCTGAGGACAGCAGCCCATGCACACCTCGGGTTACGAAGCTGCAGGCACGACGTGCTTTCCACAGTTGTTAACAGTGCGTCCTAATCCTAAACAGTGTCGCTCTCAGAAACGACTGTAATTGATGAAACAATTCCAACGTGCTAGACAATTCGATCGCTTCGGCTTTCTTTGTGGGCGTGTTTGGGGTGGGGGCAAGGGGCTCTTTCGGGAAGGAACATCTTTATGCAAAATCACCTTGCATCTGCTTAAGTACTTCCTTAGGGTGAAGCCTTAGGAGTGGAATTATTGGGTCAGAGGGGAAGAACCACTTTCTGGCTGTGGCTGTAGAAAGCAAGACACCTTTCTTAAAATGCACTCTTTCCGAAAGAACCGCGGAGATGGGGGCTGGGCCAGGGAAGAAAAGGAGCTAGCTGTGTGGTCACCAAGCCTGGGCTCTCCTTAGGAACATCAAATATAAGCACATGTGTTGGGTCAGACCACTGGTTTTTTTTTTTTAATTTATTCAATTTTTGGCTGCGTTGGGTCTTCGTTGCTGCGCGCGGGCTTTCTCTAGTTGCGGCGAGCAGGGGCTCCTCTTTGTTGCGGTGCACTGGCTTCTCATTGCGGTGGCTTCTCTTGTTGCGGAGCACGGGCTCCAAGTGTGCGGGCCTCAGTGGCTCTAGAACGCAGGCACAGCAGCTGTGGCACAAGGGCCTAGTTGCTCCATGGCATGCGGGGTCTTCCCGGACCAGGACTCGAACCCGCACCCCCTGCAATGGCAGGCGGATTCCAACCACTGCGCCACCAGGGAAGCCCACCACTGGTCTTTTAATCCAAGGCTCCTCAACTGCTGTCTCCCTCATCTCAGGTGACAGAAGATGTCTGTGTGCTTGGCACGCCTCCAAGGAGTGCCCATATTGTTAAACTTAAGGCCAAGCTCACATGCATAAAGCCTCCGCTTGCTCTCCTATCTGAGAAAGGTCATCAGAAAGCCAGTGGCTAAAAAACCTTCCGACTTGTGCCAGCTCTGGACCTGTGACTGCCAGCTTGGCCCAGTGCAGTAGCACCATCCTGACAACTGGACTGGTTAACAGAGTCCCACAGGGCTAGTTTCAGGCTGTCCTTGCCATAGCAGTATGCGTTTTCTCCCTAGATGAGCAAATGTTTAAGAATTCTGTTGGCATAGTTTCTCAATGTTTATGGACATGAATGGTCATGTATGGTCATGTCTCTGTGACATGAATTCATCTTATAGTGACCAAAACTTTTTTTAAAAAAGTTTAATGTAACAATGACATTTGCATGAATCATTCTATTTTTATAGCAGTTCATTCACAAATGTTGGTACTTTGTATTAATAACAACCGTCTAGGATTTAATCCCTTTCCAGGACCGAGGCTCACCTGCTCGAGGCCCCCCACCTGCCCTGCCTCTCTCAGAGCTGCATCCCGGCTCCTCCTATAGTCTCATTTTCCCCAACAGGACTTGCGATTTTCCTTCTTTGAGTTTCTGGATCTACCTCCTTCCCCAGATGCCAACCGTTCTCCTCTTTACCTGTTAAAATTCTACCCACTGTGGAAAAATGTTTCCTGGGATATTAACACCAGTTTCCTCAGAGCCGATGGGGTTGTTCTTTGTGTAGCTTCGAATAACTTAATTTGTTAATGTGAGCATTTACTACTTTTGAATTAAAAAGTCAAAAGATAAAGAAACGAAGATCCATGACTCATTTTCTAAAGTTCGTGGCACATCTACAAAGTCCCCCATGCAGTGCACCTCTTAATAAGAATCTGTGCCCCCCTCCCCAGTGGAGTAAGTCCAGAAGACCAGAACATCTAGGGTGGGGTGCTGGAAGGTACAGGAGAAGCTGGGTTCTGTTTGGAACAGCCAAGAACCAGGCTGCACCAGGCTGGAAAGCCATAGATGACAAAGGGGACCTGGCTTATACTTAGGTGCCCTTCACTCTGTAATCCTCCCAGGCACTGGGTAACCCAGGACGGGGGATGGTGTGCTGGCCAAGGCCAAGTAGTCTCTGATTTGTATCTAGATTAGCCAACGGACAGGACTGCCGCAGCCTTATGAGGCTTCCAGGGGTCGGCTGGGACCCTCCCTCTCTCAGACATCACCATTCATCCCGGGCATCCTGGGCAGGACTGAGGTGCGGGGAGCCCCGTACATCTATCCATCTCCGAAATGCTGCAGATTTCTCAGCTGCAGGCGTTACTGCTTTCTCTTCTGCTTCCTTAAGCAAGTAATCCCATTCGATTTATCCAAGCAATGCTGGGCCCGTCTCCTCAGCATTCCAGGTCCTCTCTGGACCTAGGTGATCACAGCGGTCCTGCAGAAAGGAGTCCGGATCCTCCACAACAGGGGACAACCACTGACTTACATATGATCTTCAAAGACAAAGAAGCCCTTGGCATGGCTCTTACCTGGAAGGACTTAATAAAAGTCCACAGCAGTGTCCGGATGCCTTCCCCCCTGCTGAGAAGCTTCACCAATCGCATCACTCGGAAAAGACGGAAAAAGGTGATGGAGATTCTATTGCTCTCTTCAGAGTTCTGAAGGGTTATCATGGAGAGGTCAAACCCAATGGAAAGTAGAACATGCAACACTTTCATAAAAACAGCAACAGATGCAAACAGAGGTGGCAGAGGTAAGAATTAAAGATGTGTTTCTAGGGCCTTTTCACCTCAAAAAGCATGATATGAAAGGAAAAGTTACATGCTAACAACACAGGGCTTGGGAAACCCTGGGTCCACACAGCACATGCATGTCCACGTGGTCTAGTGTGTTAAGAGGAGGACACTGGTCTGGTCAAGAGTACTGGACACTGATAATGAATGCAAACCACTGCAGACACTGTTCTGAAAGGACAATCATGGAGAATACAGAACAACTAGTGGAAAACTCGACATGGCCCAATAAACTGAAGGAAAAGGCCCAGCCCCTGGAGACTAGTCACTGGTCTTACCCCAGGTGTAGCAGTTGGGACAGGGACATTTTCACTTTCAGTTGGCTTTAAGAAATCAAAGATTGAACATGTATTAATGAACTTGGAAGGAAGCAAGGGTTCAGGAGGGTGTCCCCCCATTTAAAAGAAAAAAAATCTGTGGTTCATGTCTGAGGATAACACATCTGCTCCCTCCCTGAGGAAATGCCACAGGAACTGCTTGCAACTGGACTTGAGGGTGGGCAGCCACTGATGCAGGCTCAGACACTACGACTTTCTAATTCACACCCCAGGACATGATGTTTCAAGACTGAAAGACATCTAGTAAAAGACAACGCTGCAAGACCTCAGTTGTCCCCAAGCACAGAAATGCAGGGTGGGATTCTGCTTCTCACGGGAAGACTGGTTCTCTTGTTTTAGTCAGGGTTGTGGGTCTGAGGACCTAACTGCTCTGAGGCAGGCCATTCCTAACCCTGAGGAACAGGGTGACTCCACCAAGCAGGGCAGAGTGGCAGCTGCCTGCGCTCCACAGACCTCCCCTGCCCCACTCTACTCCTGGGGCCGCGCAGCTGGGCGGCATGCGTCCGATGGGCCCTCACTGGTGGGGCTGCCGAGGAGCTGGGCAGACTGAGTCAGGGCAAGCAGGAGAGGGGCTGGTTTCCCTCCAGAAGCCTTCACTGCCCCACCAAGAAGGCTCAGCTCTGGGTGACTCTTGGGAAGAAGCAGCTTAGCACCAGCGTTCCCTGAGCTTCCGCAGTGCTGTCTCACCCGAGGTCTGGCTGGGCTCCTGTCACTTGGGCCCCAGGGTGCAGAATCCCAGCCCTCGTCGCCCTGTGGTCACCGGCCTCCCCACTCAGTCTGTGAGCCCCCAGGGGGCAGGGACCTTGCCTCACTCCACTCAGTGCCCAGCATGGTGTCTGGCACTCATTAGAGGTTCAATAACTGTTTATGAGAATGCAAAGAGGTTGTATCAGGAGCCATCTTTAAATTAAACAGTAAAGGCTGAACAAGAGTCAGGAAATGACGGCCTTTTTTTTTTTCCCCCTTCAGCGGGGTCACCTCTGCTGAAGCAGCTGGTCGACCCAGAAGCCAACAAAGGAAGGAGGCTCTTCTGACTGGGGGCCCAGAACTCCTGGGTGCTCTCCAGGGCCCTAGGGAGCCTCTCTGCACAGTGGGTCTGTACAGCTAAGGGTTGTGTGTGTGCGCATGGATGCACACCCTAATCTGATGGGCTCTCCTCCCGGGAGATACAGGGAAGGGAAAAACTCCGTTCTGGAGTCTCACTCTCGTCAATGGCTGCCTCCTGAGGTCAAACCTAAAACGCTATAAAATTCATAAAATAGAAGGAGTCTGGGCACATCACATCACAACTGAAATTCAACGAGATTACTCAGCCAAGACTAACGGGCTCTGATGGGGTTAAAAAGGAGTCCCTGCTTCGCCTGGGGTGCTCGGAACGTGACCTCTGCAATGGGTTGGTCAAAGCCTGGTCACTCTTTTTACATCCCTTCTATCATCTCATCTCAAAAGGGATCACATCTCCTTAAAAGGACAGATGATGGTTTTTAACTCATGACTTTAGCAAATGAAGGTATTTGTTTTCCCAAGTTTTCATGCTTGCCCACACCAACTGCCTAAGGGCTGTGTGCAGGAGGCTCCAGTCTGACCCATACAGCTGGAGTGTGAGGGGGTGTCTGTATGTGTGTGTGTGTGTGTGTGTGCGCGCGCGCACTTGCCTATGCTCAAGGGGACGAGAGTGCTCATAAGACAGAACACTCTATAGTATATTTCTGCCATGTCCATAACTTGTGTGTTGGACTTACAAGAGAATAAGGAGGCTGGGTGGTCGGGGAAGACACTCTTTCTGGCCATGACCTGGCCCAAGCCTCTTCTGCTGGCCCCTCCCTAGCCCACGCCAAGTCTGACAGACCTTTTACACTCCCCTTGTGACATGAGAAAGTTAGTAGCCAAACTGACTTTTGAAGGGCACATCTCTTTTTCAACTGCTATCTTTGAAGTATGACAAATCTTGGCCTATGAACTTGAAACCATGGGTAGTCTTTCTCTCAAAAAGACAAAGAAGAGGAAAAGACAGCATTTGTGGAGGGACAAGGCAGCACAACACGCAAGAAAGGAAGGACAGAGCAAATGGCACACCAGGCTGCGTGCACCCCCAGTGCAGCCTGTGACACCCCCCCACATGCCTCACTGGGCAGGGAGGACTGGGCAGGGGAGGGTGTCACTGGTAGCACCGGGGGAAAGTACAAGTTGCTAAAATATCTTACAAATGGAGGGACCCCGAGGATGGCTTTGCGTGAACTACAAACGCCAGCCTGATGAAAAGGGCAGGCCCACTCTCACCCTGGGCTACCCACTGGAACGGCCTGGGGAGATCTTTGACAACTCTGATGCCTGGCTCTCACCCCAAAGCTTTTTACTTAATTGATCTGGGGTGGCCCCAAGCTTTCCCAGGTGGTTCCAACATACAGCCAGAGCCAGGAGCAGCAGCCCAAGGCCAGGGTAAAGCTGGGCCATGTCTTCAGCTGGTCACCCACAGCAGCTCACTCCCTTTAGGTCTGGAGGGGCCACACAGAATGCGACCGCCGGGAAAGCCCATTCCGGCTGTTACAGCTAAGCAATGGGTTCCTCTGGAGTTGATGGGGTTTCAGTACTCAGATGGATGCAAAGAGAGTAGCTGCCATCCCCATCTTCCTTACAAGGGGTGGGTGGAGGAGGCTCAGAAACACAGGGAGCTGGTGAAGGGTGGAAAAGGACCGTGAGCAAGCTGCCACTCCTGGGTTCAACCGCAGGACACCCCCAGAGGCTGCGGGACTAGGGAAGGTCTCACTCCCCAGGGAGCTTTCCATTGACAGCACTAGGGGCTGAATGATGTTTCAAGAGATGGAATTCCAGTGTCATCCCAGGGCCTGGACTAGATGACCTCGGTAACTCCTTCCCGAGATGCCACAGTCTTCATCTGGAAACCCTACAGGGAAATGGACCCTCAGCCTTAGGAAGCCAAACTATGTGCCAGAGTCTGGAAAGCTCCTTCCCACAGGGCTCCCAAGCAGGCTCTTGCCGTGTAGGCTCTGGGCCAACCCCCTGCGACTACGGAAGGCAAATGAGCCCTGAGTTGCCCAAGTGCAAAGGGATCAGTCTGCTTTTACGCATTAATTCCCATCTCTTCCTAGAAAAGCTGAAAGGATGCAGTTTTCCAATTCAGACAGGAGGCAAACCAGTTGCCCTGAGGCGTCCTGGAGAGTTCTTGTCGGGGAGCCTCTCTCTGACTACTTCTGACCTGGTATGTAACACCTCTGGGATGGAAGGCTTCTGTATTTGGGATTGCTGAGTTTGTCTCCAGAAACCAGCGACCTGGTCCCTAGAAAAGGGTTAGCATACGGCATGGAGGGCTGTACAACCTGACTGTGGATTTAGAACAAGAGGCTGAGTGTAGCTGTGGGCCACCTGGTCCACCCTGGGTACACGACAGGTCAGGGACAATTCTTAGGTCCCTGGGAGTGACCTCCCTACTGACTTTGTACATGCTCTTAAGTAATAACAATGCAGACATGGCTGCTAAACAAGTGTTTTGCCTCCCCGCCAATAATGCTAATCGGAAAGACTAAACGTTAGCAACAGCCATTTCCCAGGTTAGGGAGAATATGATGCCGGATCATTTCTCCATTCAAGGAACAAACAGGCATCGAAGAAGGAGCAAAACCGAGCCTGCCAGTCCTCATCTGACATTTTAGCAGCTTGATGACATTATGACCAACTGTGATGAAGACAAGTCCACGACAGCTATCAAACCATGACCGTGGCAGGGTAGGGGTCATGGGAGGGGGCGGCAGGATGGAGAGGGCCAGGTGAGCATGCAAGCAGGACAACAGAAAGGGCCATCCAAAATGTTTTTGCGAAGAATACAAACGCAAGCTCAATTTCTCATTTCCAGGCCACATCGTTCATTCTTGAAGACTAGGCTGCCGTGTCACAGAGCCAAGCGTGACTGACCAAGATGGCCCCAGCTCAGGCCCCAGGCTGGAGACAACGAAATAGGGCACAGCAAACAATTTAGATGACCACGACCCACAGCACTCCTGTGCAACTCAGCGAAAACCAAAGGTGGGAAAGACAAGTATACAGTCTTTCGAGTGCTTTTGCTTTAACAATGACTTCACCGTATATATGTTTATATATACTTGCCGCTACAATTTTCTAAAAACAAAACCAACATGAAAATCGATTAGGCAACAGAAAAGAAAGAGCAACAGAGGTTGGGAGAGACAGCACAGCAAGTTAAACATTGCAAAAAATGATGACTTATGGCAGCTAAAAACAGCCAACAATGGACCAAGAGTATTCACGCTCAGCTGAGTCGGGAGTGCGGGGGACAGGGCCACCGAGGGAAATGATGTGTGCTGCTTCCCAGGGAATTCGGCATGGGGGCGGGGCATGTAGAGGAACCACCGGCTACACTCAGAGAGTTATGTCACCGGAGGTTAAGGACATCCAGTCTCTCCTGTCTTTGTGCTGTGGCCTGAGGGTCGTAGATGCCCAATAAAGATGTGATGAAGGACTGAATAGATGAGAAGGTGGCCTTGAGCATCCCCTCTTCACTGAGGCCCAGCACAGAAAGGCTGAGGTCCCCTAAGGTGGTTTTCTACTGGGCCAGGGCCTTGAACTCGCATTGCTCCCGGCTCAGGAAGGTTTGGTCTCAGGCTCCATCTGACCAGGGGAAAGGTCACGTAATGAAAAACAGTACGAGGATGCTGACTGGTAGGGTTTTCGAGTCTGACTGAATGCCAGGGAAAGCCTGTATTATACAGAAACCCCAAAGTCAAATGCTAACTAAAAAATTTCGCGTGGGCTTTTATAGACCTGTGGCTTTCCTGACTGATGGAAGGTGAAGGCGGACGTGTCTGAGACACTGCTGGGCAGGGCTGAACCAGAGGGAAGGCACAGTGGGCTCAGCCCCAGCACGCGGCGAGGCAGCCAGGAAGCCGCGCGTACTGTCGGTGGTGCACCAGCGCGGGGAGTCAGGCATTAGAGAGCTGGGCTGTCTGCTTGGTGAACAAACCCTGGCCACATCCTGGTGCCCAGAAGCTAAGCATGGACCCTACCACCTACACACCACGTGAAGCACGGAGCGCTCCAGGGAGACCTGCTCAAATTGTCACTTATGATATTTTCACTTCCATTATAGGCCACCTCTGACTTACATAGGGGTCTGGTTCCAGACTGTTCACGTAAGTGTACTTTGATGGAGGCTGTAAGTGCTTTACGTGGTGAGATGATTAAGCGGGCAGATGTCTGGTCATAAACTCAGGAGAGAGCCCCTGGCAGCCCAGGGAGGGTCCTATGTTCTCCCATTAGCATCAGATTATTTTATAACCAAGCATAATTCACACATTATAAATGGCAATTTTATACCTGACTTGTGGAATATTTCACATAACGTGGAATTTATGTAAGTCTGGGCTTATGGAGGTTGGCAGATCTATGTGCCTAAGTCTAGTAAAATACCATTTCAGTACCTGGTCTTGGCATGAATTTGAGTGTCATGAGGCTTAACTCACACCCTCACGGACATGGTAATGTCTTACAGTTCATTTCGCTTATTGTTACAAGGAAAATCTATATTTAAAATAATACCATTGTATCTCCCTAACACTTTGGGAGTTTAAACAAGTATTTTCACAAATATGCCTATCATTTTATCATTGCAACGTACCTATGAAGCAGGGAGGGCAGACATCATTCATCTCAGTGGTCCACGAGGGAACTGAGGCCCAGGTCCAGGCTAGCGCTGTCCTGCTACTCTACACTCCACAGTCAGCCTGGCCCCCAAAATGGTGGCATAGATCTCATCATTCTTATTTGGCACAGGCTGACTGGGCACCAGGATGGACCATATGAGCCCGCAGGTGTCAGACAGGCAGAGCGTGGCAACCCCTGCCCAGCCAGGCATGGGGGGAGGAGGGCCAGGTTGGCACCGGGCAGCAGGAAGCCAGCACAGCACGGCAGCCCACCCCATGCTCCACCTGTCCCTGCGAAGGGCTCCACACAAGCTGGGCACCCACGGAAGCCTGCTGATGAACTGGGGACAGACCAGGTGGGCAGGGCCAGTTCTGCCCGCATCAGGCCCTCCCGGTCTGGGCATGGGTCAGATCTGAAAGGGGCCAGTGGGAGGCGGTGCTCCCCTTTCTGCAGCCTCTGTATTTTGAGGAAGGTTCTCAGGATGCTTCCTAAAGGTTGGGTGGGGTGTTCACTCCACCTACCACTGCTCCTCAACAAAGGATTCAACTGGGTGCAACAAAGGAGCGCTGACACCCTCTCCTAATATACACGAGGCCCTCCTTCCCCTGGCCCAGGGCAGCCTTCAATCTGCATCCCTATTCGGGGAGCTAGGATAGGCATGTTCCCCAGCGTCACCAGTAGGGCTCAGCAGACACAGCGTACAGGTGAGGACACCCGCAGCGGTGGCCGTGTGCTCAGGGCACGGCTGTGGGGTTTCTCTCCTGTGCCTTCACAGACCCACAGTGGGTACCAGGGCACACGTTATGAACTCTGCTTTCCAGCTCAAAAAACTGAGGCACGAAGCAGCCGGGGGCCCTGCCAAGGTCACCCAGCTACTGAGTGATAATGTTCACATACCCACACAATTAACTCCTAGCCCTTAACATTTTAATAAGGTCTTCTTTAAAAATAATGTTTTCCTTCCAAAATGGCAATTCTACATTTACTTCCCCACTCTCATTCAGGGGAAGGGGATGGGGGGGCCGGGGGAGGGAGGGAAGAGGACAAAATGTTCTTAGTCTTTTGCGGTAAATGCGTGCTTGAATTTCTAAAGTGTACAGAGATCCGTGGGGAGGGTTTCTGGTCTCCTCTGTGTTAGACTTAACGAGGTTATAGGACACAAAATTTGCTACTTACATTCACTTCAGTTATAGCAATATCAACGACGCTACCAACAACAATTAAGGCATCAAAAGTGTTCCATGCATCAGTGAAATAGTGCTGTTAGAGCAAGCATTCAGAAGCCACAGAAGAGAGGAAGCACAACAGGAAAAAAAGAAGAAAAGGACAGTGTTATAAAAGGGGAACATTCTAGCATCAAGCCACCTGGCTACTTGAAAAATCATCCTAAAACAAACATGTTATAGGTACATCACTTTGGGTAGTGCTTCTGACACAGCAAATAAAAACAGTTAGAGACGCCTATCTTGCCCTGCCTACCGCTGACTCGGCTTAACGCTGCAAAACAGTCAGTCCTCCAAAAGGTGATGTGTGTCTAAAGGCCTGGGGATCAAGCTCTACGCTAAAAGGCCTCTTCTCTGCAGCTCTCGTTAGAAGACTCCTGGTTTTCAATCAAGTACGACTGGGCTCTGTGACTTGTCCAGGTGATGCAGTGCAGGGCCGGGCGGGTGTGCAGACAGAGACAGGATGGGAGGTGGCCCCGGGCGGGCACATACTCACGTCAGCTTCGCTGAGCGCCACGTCTACAATGCTGCCGATTACGATGAGGGAGTCAAACGTGTTCCAGGCATCACTAAAGTACCCCTGGACAGAGCGGGCGGGGGCAGATGTTTATGAGCACGTAGGAAGGAGAAGCCACGCTGACCGCATGGGGTCACACCCAGGCCCCGCAGCAACCACGGCAACCAGGGGGGGCGGGAGGGCCAAAGGGAAGCGACCATACCGTCCACCGGTGCAGAGGGACACGGGGTGGGGCACCTGCATGTGTGAGAGAGGCCACGGGTGCATGGACCCACACATACACACACACACACCACACACACACAGACACACACACCATACACAGACACACACACACCACACAGAGACACACACACCACACGCACAGACACACACACACACCACACGACACACACACCACACGATGCAGACCGTGGCCCTGGGCAGCACTGAACCAAGCCAAGTACCTGCAGGACAGAGCGAGGCACTTGGTGACCCTGCCCTGGCACCCAAGGTCACAACCCCAACCCCTCACTAGCTGAGGGAGGAGAAGGCCCTCCTACTCCCCGTATGGGGTCCCTAGTCACCTCCTTCTCTTCTTCCACATCAAGACCACTATGACCGGCGTTTCACACCTTCTCACTGCTGTGCCCTTGAAACAAACCAGTATCCCTGCCCCTCCTCGACAGTCCAAGTACTGCAAAGGGTGTGCCCCGTGGCAGGATGTCCTCACAGAGCTCTCGGTCTAAAGGGACACGAAGGCTTACAGGGAGACAGGCCAGCGATGCACGCCGTCTAAGGCAGAGGTGTGGCCTGTAGGGCTGCGGGATCAGTGCACAGAAGGTCTCACGGGGAAGGAGCGCTCAGGGATGGTGATGATGCTCGAGTGCTCCCACTGTCCCCCAGAGCAGCCCCTATCTCCTGATAGGCTCCTTTTTCCTCTCCAGCTCTGGCTTCCCTCCCCTCCCTCTGCATCCTCCAGGCTGAGCGGACTCCTTTCCATCCCTCAAACCACCACCAGGTTCTTGCCCAACTCCTGAGGCCTCTGTGATTCCGGCCTCCCCACCCCAACTCTACCTGCCCACGTCCACTTGACGCTCAGCTCAAATGCCAACGCCCTGATGGCATGTTTTCAGATCCTCCTGACTCATACCTCCCATCCTGGGGACTCCGAATGTCTCTCAGGTCTTGGTCACTGAATCTGGGGCCTCTGCCCGCAGGTCTACCCCATGGAATGAGGGTAGAGGACTGTGCTGACTGCTCTGTCCCCTCCTCCACTAATCCCACCACCCAGCCCGGAGCCGTGAGCCCACATAGTGCTTGACACGTGGCAAGGCCTCCTCCTTCCACCAACTTGCACCCTCCTGGTCATGCAGCTCTGCCCTATTCTTGTTATTTCAGGTCCTTGTATCTTGTTGAAGGTACAACATCCCTACGACTGTGACTCACAAATCTGTACATACATGGCATACATTTCGCATCCTCTTCTGGGCTCAGCACAGTAGGTGCTAAATGACTGCCTGCTGTCTCCTGATACCCCCCAGGAAGCCCTCAATCGGAGGGGGTGGTGGGGAGAACAGTACACAGAGGCTTCTGGCTGCGAGGTCAACGACTGTCTGCAAATCAACTGCATCTTTTCGACAAGCCAGGATGTGTTGTGGAAATAAAAATTCAGGTCTGAATCATATAAAAAGGGGCCCAGTGTGCTTACAACGGGGTACACTTAGTGCTGGATCAAGAACACCAGAACAGAAGGTACTTTGAAGTGTCAGGTCCCATGAATTGATCAAGTGCAGGCCCAGAGGAAGCCACTGCAGAGCCCCAGCCTTTTACGACACTATGGAGAATGTGGACACGCTGGCTGTTCCAACAACCGGAGGAGGGATGTTTGTTCTAATCACTGTTGATCACCCCAGGTGCATTTATGGGGGACCTGTAACGCTGACTTAGGGTTTGAGATTTTTAAAAAATTTCATCTTAAATAATGTAAGACTTTCCCAACCAACTGCCACAACTTCTGACCCTGCCCCCCCCCCCCCCCCACCCCCCGCCATCTCCTCTCTCCTCCTCTCCCACAATCCCAGCACCTCTCTCATAGTTACTTACCCTCACGGACTGACTGCCACCCTCCCAGGCCCCTCTGTTAGCCCTCTAACAAGTAAACAAAAGCTCGCCTGCACCAGCTCTGATGATCTATGATAAACGTCTAATGGGAGCGTCTGCTTAATAAAGACAACGTCTCACTCCTTACAGCTTCTCTTCTCAAGATGTGGGGCTCTTGGCTGGCAAAACAGGAGAGGCAGGCCACGGTGAGGACACGACTGGTGCGCCTCAGGAAGCTGGCTGTGCTGGTCAGAGAGGAGACCCAGAGCCTGCACCAGGACGTAAAGGCACATTCTGCTTCCCTCCCCGAGGACAACGCGAAACCAGACAGTCAGCTGGATCACGTGGTGCGCTGAGTGCCGCCGTTGTACCCGGGTTGGGAGAACACAGCGTTTGCTCTTAAATTATCTGCATCACTGCGAATGGTAACACACAGTGGGCTGACTGGCGGCCTGGCCACAGAGCACGCTCTGAGGTGCAGAGCCTGTCCTCTTCCTCATGGATTTAACAGCAACTCAGAACTGCAGAGACAATGGTGAGCCTTCCCCTCTCCTCTAGAGAGGAGCTGATGCCTTAGAAACGCGTGGTCATCAGTAACAACTGGGGCTCTAGGGCACAGAGAGCAGTGAAGACCCACTGTCCCTCCTGTCCTGTCCCACACCACGGGCCCTGCCCCCCTCTTGCTACAGTACATCCTTTCCCGGAGGCCAAGCCCACCACCATTCAGGGCACTGAATGCCCCTCTTACCTACTTGAGGCTTTATTCCTGAATGGCTCCTCTGTCTCTGTGTGTCTCTGTGTCTCTGTCTCTCCAGAATGATCCGTATTCACCTGTGGATCATTCCTATCAGCCTGCAAACTATTCTCCAACTGGCCCATCCTGGCCCCCTGCGGTGTATAAAGTCACTTTAAATCAACACGATAGGGGCTTGATGTTTGGGGTCCTGGAACTCTTTGGTAATCTCATCAACACCCTCTCTGGAGGGTCCACTGCACTCACAGAGTTGTGCCCAAATTCTAGAGGGTTCCTGGACTGACACCCTCGTCTAGGCGACAGGAGGCTTGAGTTGCTGCAGGTGGCTGGAATCACAGGCTCTGGCCAGATGGCTTGCTAGGGGTCCCAGGGAGGCAGAAAATGCCAACCCCCCCCCCCCGCCTTCTTCCCACATGCTGTTTCCCTGTTTAGTAGCCTCCTAGGTAATAAAATCACCGTCAAGTGAGTATGACTCAGCCCCACCCCTTTCCCAAAGCCACCGCAGCGTCTGGGTAACCAGAAGGTTAGGGCTTCTAGCACGGCGCCCACCTGCATGCTCTCTCCTCTTGGCCAGTCACAAGAGGGTCTCCTACAACTGAATGTGGAGGTCAGGGCCCCTCAGATGGAACCAGCAGTCCCTACCAGTCTGGCCACAGTTGGCCCGTATTACTTTTTGAACAGCCTCACCCATTTGAAAGGATCAAGCAAGTCAGCCACACGCAATAACATTTATTACTCGGAAACACTTCTGACTCCGGGAATTTAAAATCATAACCCAGACTAACGTGGGCTTAGGGCCAGGAAGCTCCCTTGTTTCTAAGAACTCTATCTTGATTGTCCATTAACATAATCTCCGGCTAGACTATAGGCTCCTGGAAGGAGAGCTGGACCCCCAGCCAGGATAGAGCATGGGCTTGGCACATGGTGGGCAGCAAGGTCTATGCAATGCAAACAAGAGAAGCAGCCCAAGTCCAGGATCTTTTCGCTGCCCGGCCTTTTGGGGTTTACTGAGGCAGCCGGATCACTTTCCAATTTCTGCCAGGGACTGTCTGGGAAGCATTTGACCCAAGGGATGGCCCACAGTGCCAACTTTGGGTGGAAACTGTAACTGACAGCTTTCTAACCAGCATAAGCCTTTCCAAAGGTCAAGTGGAGGCTTAAAGAAAAATACGTTCACTTTTGGCCACTCTGCTCTGCCCACATCTCCTGTGATAGAAAAGCCGGTAGGGCCTGATGCCAAGGGGCTGCACCCACAGGTTCATCCATCCATTCCTTTCTTTCTCCCTTCCACCACTTCCCATGGAGTAACCAGCATGTAGCAGGCATCGCGTGAGACAAACACAACCCAGCCTTGAGCAGCTGCTCAGCTAACGGAGAGGGAGACATGGAGGGTATTGATGTTGACAATGCACAGTGAGCATCTAACAGGAGCACATGTGAAGGGGAGAGCCGACCCTGGCTAGGCTGGGGGGACACTGTGACGGAGGAGCCCACATTCCAGACAGGCCTTAAAAGATAACAAGGTGGAAAAAGGGCTTCCAGACACAGAAGCACAGGCCACGGAAAGGTCCCGCATGGTAACAGTGGGGATGGGGTGCAGAGGAGGAACGGCTGGGAGCACGCGGCCGGAAATGAGGCAGAAATGTAAGTGCGCTAGTGTTTGGTGCAGAACTTTGAATATTCGACTATGAAATTACCTTTTTTTTTTCATACAACAGGTGGCACGGTCAGCTTTCAGTTTACAAAGGGAGTGTGTGGAAGATGAAGGGGGGCGCTGAGGCCAGAGGCAGGAGATGGGTTCAGCAGTCAAGGAACGCAAGAGGGAGGAGGGCCGCGGAGGCTGGGGTGAGACGAGCTGGCCACTGAGGCCCTGGGCGTGCACGCGTCTTACCAGGGGAGAAGGGGACCAGGAGGGAGCTCCGGGATACCCCGGCCTTGAAAGGACAGGCTGAGCCCATGAAGGAGTCTGACATCAAGTTCTAGTTAAGGAGAGTTAATATTTCTCCTCAAGCGTTATTTGGCATTAAAATAAATCACTGAGATACATTTATGAGATATATATATATATATATATGTGTGTGTGTGTGTGTGTGTGTGATCACTGAAGAACTGAAAAGATAGCGTCAGGGTTTCTTCCCAGGAGGTACAGAAGGTGCTCCAGGAAAACTGCTGGGGCTGGTAAAGCAGCCTTATTGCTGCCAGGGACCCTGGGGGAGGGAGTGCTGTCCTGGGAGGCATATGGGACCGGGTGACCCAGTGTCCACGACACATCCGCTCTGCACAGAAGCATGAGGACAGCACTAAAGCACTTTCTTCTTTCCCCAAACCCAGTAACTCTCAACGTTTTCCAAGCTCAAGTGGCTAGGCAGGTAAATTCGACATTTTCAAGGTACAGTTGACGCTTGAACACGGTGGCTTTGAACTGTGCGTGTCCACATACACATGGATGCTTTTCAAGAGTAAATACCACAGCCCTACGTGGTTTGTGGTTGGATGAATCAATGGGTGCAGAGGAACCTCGGATAGGGAGCGGCGGCTCTAAGCAATACTCAGATTAACCCGCGTGTTGTTCAAGGGTCAAGTGTAGAACCAAGACCAAAACGCTTCGAGGTCTAAGCCTTGGGAACAAAGTGTGGCTCCCTGAGGAAAAGCCCACATGGAGGCAGGTAACGTACTTGAACAGGTGCTGGACAAAACACCAGATGGGCGGCTTCTGGAAGCACAAAGAAGGAACCTCAGACAAATCAGAAGTGCTCCTTAGACCTACGGGAGCCAGTACTTTGGACAAAGCCCTTCTTCTTCAATCTCCCTCCTTGCAGCGAGAGAATTCACTTGAGAAGTCCAGCGGCTGCCCCTTGGGAGTACTGGAGGGGAAGGCCGGGGAACAGGACTTGGTTCTTATCTACATCATGGCCCACCTTTCAAAACCCTAGGGCGGCTCAGTCGCTCCAAGTGCACGAGCTCGATGCCCGATGGGTGGGTCTACCCTGGGGAGCCGACACGACCCACTGAGCAGCCTGTTTGCTCGGCTCTCATTCCTTGCCTCTTTGGCGTCTCACCACCTTCCATGCTTGCCTAACCCACACTCAAAACAACTTTTCTCCTGGAGTGATCCCACCTCCCCACCAGGGAAGCTCCCAGCTCGGACCACATCCCTCTAAATGTGCTCTCACTCAGGAGGCCCCCTTTACCAGTCAGGCCCTTGAGTATAAAAGGAGTCAGGTTCCTCCACTCGTTTGAACCCTTCCTCCTATGATGCCTTCTCACCTCCCAGGAAGGATTGTAACTTCACCCTCTGTATTTCTATTACAAAACAGCTGCAACCCTGTCTCTCCTGACAGAGGCTGACAAGTTCTCCCGGAACACGCGCCCCTCACTGTGGAGAACACAGCCCCAAAGGACCCTGCGACAGAGCTCCCCAGGAGAGACGCAGACCTTCTGAGATGAAGTTTATGGGCCAGGCTCCCAGCCCTCTGTCCCTCTGGCCATCTCCTCACAGAGAGGCTTCCTTCTGCCACCTTTGCAACACGCCTCCTCAGCCCCACTGCCCCTCTGACGGGTAGGAGGGCCTCACTGACTTCTTTGTGGATGACTACTCGCCTGGCCTTGCTTTGCTAACACCAAAGAGGAGATAGGAGAGTCAGGAAGCGTTTTAAGAAGAGCTTTGCTTCTTGGTGAAATGACTCTCTCCGGCTCCTCCAGACACACCGTCACAACACCAAATCCATCTGCTTCGCAAATGCAGTGACGGTGCCCCTCAGGCGTAGAGGCGCTGCTATTGCTGTTTTAAAATTTCTCTCACTTGTAATCTGAGGTTATCTTCTGCTGTGAAAATACCTTGTGGAGGAAAACTACGAAGCGGCACAATTTCTAGCGGAAATCACTCATTTAAAAACTCCGATCGATCAGTACTGACTATAAGTTAGCCACTCATTTCCCCTCGGCCTCACCAGCCTGTTCACACACCACTGAACTCTCCTCCCAGGTTTGGTAACAGTGGTTCACCGGACACAGCCGCTGACAGTGCACACGCAGACACACACGGACTCACACACATGCCGGGGGAAATGTGCCTTCTCAGAGCTTAATCACCAGGCAGGGCAAGACATGGCGAGGGGATCTAGGAAATGTTGCATAGATACGTGCCATGTTGCCTTGATCAAGTGCTTTTGGAGTTCTTACTCTGCAACCTTTCCATCAGTCCAGACAAATGTTGATCAAGGACGGAAAGGGGAAAGGGAAGCAAACCAAAAATCTCAAAGGATATTCAGAAGAGTTTGGTGGGGGCAGGGAAGAAGGTGCATGTGTGGAGATATGGACAAGTCACAGTAATTAGCATCTGGCCATGCAAAAATGCCAGGTTTGACCCCACTGCAATCACCCCGATCGATCACTTACAAGCGTCCTTTCTTTTTGGTCCACAAAGAGCTGATAAAGATTGCATAGGAATTAATTCAAATTAAAGATAGGAACAGTTCTAAATTAGAATCTCACTTACGGATGGAGTATGTGAACCCATCATTTCATAATCCGAGTCTTACTTAAATTAGTGTTGTCAGATACCTCACACCCTGATGAACAGACACTGGGGTCACTGAACTTATTCTCTAACTCTGATGGGTGGAGGTTTTGCTAGAAAAGAAACTGAGGGTCAAATGTGTCACAGCTCGGCCAGGATCTGCTCCTCTGTCTAGGGTTTTAGGACGAGGAAACATCACCACTTGATGCTGGGGATGGTGGTCGTCACCGTAACAGTCCTGACACGTCTACAGCATGGGGCTACACGCCGAGCACTCTTGTAAGCGTGGCACACAGAGTGATTCCTACTCCTCCAAACTGCCCTACGAAGTAGGACTACTAGAGCCCTCATTCCATGGGTGAGGAAATGGAGGCCCAGAGCAGTGAAGTATCGACAGCTTGCTTGGGGATTTGAGTTCAGTCTGGTCCCAGAATGGTGCGTGCTCTTCGACACTATGCTATCTGTCTCTTACGCTACAGACGTTGACAACTGTGGACTGGACTCAGTCTGTCCTAAAGGAGACATAACACGCAGAGCAGTCCAACACAGTTTAAAATGCTCGTGTCTTGTTTTGTCTTAAAGTCAAGTGAAATTTTTCTAAATTAAACAAACGAAAGATGGTATGGCTGTGAGAGGTCTGCAGCTGGTAGAATTTTCCATAAAAGGTGAAAAAGATGCTGTAGACCAAGAACAAAGAAAACCAAAGTCTTTATGCTGGCAATGTAGAAGTAAAATCAGGGCCGAATTATTCCTGATGGGTTATGTGAAAACAATGTCTCCAATGCTCAAGTAATGAGGCGAGTTTCCTTGAGACAGTCTGACACACGCTCTTCTAGAAACAGAAAATCAGGTTTCAAAACAATCTCCATTCTGCAAATTCCTAATTCTCTCTTCTTCTTTTTCTCAGAATTGTTTTTGCGAGGTTTTGTTTTCGCAGATTTATTTTCTCATGTGTACACAGATGCCCTCATCAGATTTTAACGTTCTCAGGCGATAACCTAGTTAACGGCCAGAACAATTCAGCATAATCCAATAACACAAGACTAACGGGAAGTGGGTGACTCTTTGGAGTGATTCAGCTACAGCCTTTGACAGTGGGTTTAGCAACTCACCTTAGGTTTAAATGCAATGACTTTCAAAACCATCTCGACAGTGAACACCCCGGTGAACACCATGTTCAGGATGTCCATGGCGTCATTAAACATCCTGGACTGCTCGTAGTGCTGTGGACGGAAGCAGAGGCACGGTTCTCGGGGGTCCACTCCGGACTCGCAAAAGGAGGCTCCCCAGCCCACCACCCCCTGCAGGCATCCGTCCGCCTGTCACACGGGCAGCGAGGCAACCTCCCCGGTCCAGCACCCTCTCCCAGTGATTCCACTGACCCTGCGAGGGCACGTGGTAGGCCCCCCACAAAGCGCAGGGGGCCCTGACAAGATGAGGGTGACCAAACGATGAAGGGGAAAGACATCCACTTCCTCTGCTCGGAATAAAGGGAATCCACCCTTCCTCCCAGCAGGGTTTCTACTCAGGGCCTTGACCCAGGCACAATGCAGAACACGCCCACAGGTCTATGGACAAAGGTAGGACTCGGTTAGGATACATTATACGCCATTTAGGCCTATATTCAATCAAAGGCACTGTTATCATCTTGCCTTCGTGCTTTTCCCTACATCAGCAGAGGGTCCTCATTCATAAGGAATTCGTAAATTTAAGGAAAGGGCCAGAAAACGTACCCTTGGCTGTCTTTACACTCATCTCCCAGACAGCACTGGGAGTTGGTTTGATTTGCTCAGGTTCTTAGAGCCAGTGGGAAACTGAATCTAGACCTTGGCCACTCTTGTCCTAGTGCAATATCCACTAGACAGCACAAGGGCTGGAAACGCTCACTATCAATACCGCTCTGTAATCCAGTGTGGCCAGTTGAAGTGAGCTGCCTTCCTTGCCCCCAGTGAGCCAAGAGTCGCTGTCAGGCAGGTCAAACTCAGTACTCCACGGACCAGAAGACTCCCCACTGCCACGCTGAGAGTGACTTGAGGACGGGAATGACACTCTGGGACAGGCCCAGAGCAAAGTGCCGGACACAAATTACCCAGCATAAACTTCGTTTCCCACTTTACCAATCGACAAAGCCAGGCTCGGGGGATTTAAATAACTTGCCCCGGGTCACCCGGCTGCTAAGGAGTCAAGTCAGGATTGAAGACCCCGCCTGTTCATTTCCACACAGACAGAGCTTTAGTCCACAACCACTCCCTGGCCACAGAAGCCCACAGTAAAGGTTCACAGGCCTGCAAGCCATGCTAGGGCTCCAGAGAAATGGCACTTATGGTCACGCTGTACAGTCTCTTATGCAGAAGAGTGACTGTAAACTCCTGCCATGGCAACTGTTAGCCAGAATGGGAGTCTGGCCAAACTACAGCCCGGACTCATCAGGTAATCAAACCCTTCCTCCTGTGAGGGGGCGGCATTCCACCCTCAGGATTTGGGGCATGGGGCTGCACCGAAGGCCCAGGCGTGATCCACGCGGCTGTCTCCATTTTTACCTGCATGGCCAAGCAGAGTGTGTTGAGCATGATGAGGACAAACATCATGTACTCGAAGGGCGAGGAGTTCACCACGTACCAGAACTTGTACTGGTAGGGGTTTTTGGGGATGTATCTCCGCAAGGGACGTGCTTTCAAGGCGTATTCAACACACTGACGCTGCAATGGCAGAAAAGAGCAACGGGGATCCTGAGCACGTCTATGGAAGAAGGACACAGTTCTCGTCTGCCCTGAAAAGCTGGCGCACCCCTACTGGGAGGGAGCGAGAACAAGGGGGAACCGCCAGCGCAACCCGCACAGGTACCACTCAGCATCACTGACAAAGGGCCCCCAGCTCCATCACCTCATCTGGTCCTCACAGCAGCCTTTGAGGGTAAGCAGAGCACCCAGTTTGCTTCCATTTCGCTTATTAAAAGACTGAGGTCCGGCGATGCATTAAGCAGAGATGCAAAGCCTTGACCCGTGTCTTATCCCTGCCCTTCTTTGATGCTGGTGGAGCACATCTGTAGTTCTCCTGCCCAGGGAAGGAAGCCAAGTAACGAGAGGCAAGGAAATCCTCAAGAACCAGAGGGGCTGGGCTGACTCCCTGAGATTGGAGGTCCCATGGCTGCTCCGGGATGGACCCATACAAGACGCCTACCAGCAGCCAGAACGAGCATGGTAACCCTAAGTGTCTAATGGTGAGTGAGCTGTGTGTCTGTCTGAGAGCTTTAGAGGCTCAGGAGCTTGTCGTGTTCATCTTAGAACCCCCAGGACATGGTCCGTGATGATGGCCAGAGCACTGCCCCGCCCACTGATGCTGGGGCCGAGACCGGTCCACCCTTTGCAGCAAGCCCAGAAGGAGCCTCCAGCCCCGAAAGCCTTTTCAGCATCATACCCTACTTGCTCCTAGGCCCAGACCAACCACAGGCTCTCTCTGTCCAGGACCTGGCCCTGCTGTGACCTCACATGCTGACTCTTGGGACCCCTGACTGGAGCCTATCCTGGACCTCGTGGTGACCTAGTTTCAGCTCTGTTTCCGCCTGGGTCTTGCCCTGACACTCTTCTTCCTTGGCGGGGGTCAGGAGGGGTGAAGAGTTGGACCAGGCCTCCCTCAGACCGTCACTGATAACATCTGCAGGGACGCCCTGACAACTCACAGCAATGTCTTCCTATAAACCAAGCTGTGCTCGTGCTTCCCCCAGTGGAGACGCTGCAGCCTGAGACAGACGGCCTCACCGTGCACGGCGACTTCCCGCCAGGAAGCCCAGGCCGGCAGTGATTCTTGCTCTCTATGTTATCGGCCAACAGAGATGGCTTCTGATAGAGGGCCTGGGGGAAACTCCCAGAACAGAGTCTCCATCTCACAGGCTATTTTTACAGCTGAGAAAGACCTTTAAAAGTGACTCCTTAATGCCCTCAATTTAGGGAGACAGCCCAGACAGGAGGTGGAGGCGCACCCACAGTCACAGAGCAGGTGCAGGCAGAACAGGACCAGACAGGTCTCCTGGCCCCCTCGCATCATCACACGATCAGAGCCAAAGGCCCCTGCGCCTAACAGGCTGGTTAAAACAAGGTGCTAGATCAAGAGAGTGATGCCAGTGTAACCTTAGTCCCAAGTTTAAAGTTAGCGACTTTCCCGGTGGTGTGATAGGGTACTTCCTCCTAAGTCAATGGTTCTCAACCAGGGCACATTTGACAATGTCTGGAGATATTTCTGGAGCGGGAATGAGGGTGGGGGGCAGAAGGTGCTACTGGAATCTAGTGGGGAGAGGCCAGGGAGGCTTCTCAACCATGCACCGCAAGCATAACAAAGAATTATCCAGCCTCAAATGTCAATAGTCCCGAGGTTGAGGAGATAAAAGGCTTGGGAGGGACTGTGCGAGTGCCACTGGGTGCTTCCTGGCCCCAGGCCACACCACCCTACGTGACTCTGAGCTGTCACTAGTGGGTCATGACCACAGAAGGTGGCCTAGGTATCCTGACTTCTCACTCACACGTCTGGGGGTAAATTTCAAAATTACAGCCTACTCTGCATCTGGGAAACTAACTCTCCACACTGATGACTCACAGTGGCTGAGGGTGTGCTCTGAGCAGGGCCCAAGCCCCAGGGAGAGAGAGCAGGTGGGCACCCTTCTCTGTACATGCGGGAAGCTGTCAAAAGAGAAATCGGTCCTCTTTGGCTCAAGGGACAGAAGCCCGAACAGTGTGTGACTCTAACCTGATTTTTGTCCAGCTCACAGTTCTTATACTCTTTCTCCCCCTGCTCCTGAAATGTGACGATGACGAAGCCCACAAAGATGTTCATCATGAAGAATGCTACGATGATGATGTAGATGATGAAGAAGATGGAGATCTCCACGCGGTAGTTGTAGATGGGGCCGACGTTCTCTCCGTTCGAGTCGATGGCTTTGTACAGCAACCTGGAGAGCAGAGGATCCAGTGAGCACCAGCGCCGCTCAGCCAGCAGCCCAGCCCCGCTGGCTTCTGACCACCTCTGTGGGCACTGACGGTCGGACCCCTCGCTGGGAGCCCACCCCAAGGCCCCGGGACACGTGGAGGTCCCTCAGGAAGCCTCTTGAGCGATAGGCCAATCAGCCCGGCACCTGGCGGAGGGAACACCTGGGATATATTTGTTGACTGATTGCTCTGAAGACTGGAAAAGATTTTACAAACATCCAATAATGCTCCTTTCTAGTCACAGACAGAAGACAGGATGGACGTCACATGGAAGACACTGGCGGAACTGAAAGCAGTAAACGCAAGACAACGAGCGAGCAGCCAGGGCATTTCCAAAGAACTACGAGAGGTTCCCCAAACTGAAACAAGCACTAAAATTAAATGTCCCAGGCAGAACTCTGAGCAGAAAGAGGGGCAATTACTGCAACAGCCTCCAATTCAACGTATGCTCGTTCTGATGCAGATTCAGCCCTTCCAGGCACCCACCCGAGGCGTGCACTGTGCTAGGTGCTTTCACATCCATCTGGAAAGGTGGACATACGGTCGTCCCTGTCTTACGGAAGCTCAGAGAGGGATCTAAGTGCCAAGGTCACAGTCCTGGGGACAGAGCAGGAGTTGAGCCCACCTCCCCTGAGCCCCAAGCCCCAAGTCTGTTCATTTCCCTGCCATCCCTGGTGGCAGCTGCCACCCAGGTTTACTAAAGTGCAGTGTTTAAACCCTGAGACCACAGCTAGCGCCTCTGTGGAGTGCAGGCTCTCACGCTATGCTCCTCGTCTCACAGGACCAATCCACCAATGAACAAGCCCCGCCCAACTGTCCTTCTACTTCGCAGACACCCCACACACCCAGAGAGTCCTGCCAGCCTGTCCACCCTCCTCTGGGCATGAGAACTTGACATTCGGAACTCTATCAACATATATATGTTCTGGCGGCAGGAGCTGGGGGGCCATCAGAGAGCAGAGCACAACAGAGGTACAAGAGCGCTCCTTTCGTATTCTACCATCTTCCTCCTTTCCACTTTTCTTACCTCACCCATCAAAATCCTAGCCATTCCTCAGGACCCTATGCTGCATGTCTCTGACACACCAGGACCCTCCTGCTTGGCTTGGTTGGCGACACTGACTAAACGTGGGCTTTGAGAGGGGAAACCACATCTAGACAGCTCTGTTTCTTCCACAGGGTGTAGTACAGCATGTTGCATGGAGCTGGTATCAAGAGCACACGTTATGAATGAGCCAGCGAGCGCGGCAGTGAAAGACGTGGCACAATGGCACGTACTGGTACATTACTAGGAGTGAATGAACAAATGAGTGCACGGTCTGGGACACTCTCATGGGCCTCTTTAGGAACAGTGTAGTGGCAGCTTTACTGATGAGGTGACACAGGAGCTGGCCTGAAAAATGCCTCTGGGGACTCCCCATCCACATCCAGCAATGCCCCCCAGGAGCCCGCTGAGAGATACCCCCCTTCCAAGACCCCAGCTTCCCAAATCCGAGAGTCCTGGCTGCCCACAGGGGTTAATCCTTTGCCTAATCAGACAGAGGAGCCCTGTGGGCCAGGAAGTGAGCGATAAGTGGTACAAAGTTAAAAAGTCATAGAAAAGGCCTACAAAACTGGAGAAAAGCAGCAGGACCCACTCTCCAGGAGACACGGCTCAGCCCAGAGTGCCCGCGAAGCAGCAGGAGCATCCCTGGGAGACACACGATCTCGGTACTCACGCGGGCCAGCCCTCGAACGTGGAGACCGTGAACAGAGCCATCATAGCTGAGAGGACGTTGTCAAAGTTGAAGTCGCTGTTTTGCCAGATCCTCTCACGGACCACAGGGTTATCGACATCCCCATCCTTGTAAAGGATGAAGAGCCCCCTAGAGAGGAAAGGAAGTGGGCGGTCACCCTGGCAGGATGTGGAATCTGTCACACTGCCCGATCCCTCCCCCGGCCAGGCCACCGTTCTGAGCATGGCACAGCCTGCGTTTCTCCATATCATGCTCTCCATTTAGCCTACTCAACGGTTCGAATAACCGGGCAGCAATGACTCAATGTGTATCCTCCAGAGTGACCAGGCAGACACCCAGCCTGATCACAAATGAAAACTACCGAACAAGAACCATCCCTCATACAATGGCCTCAAAGTGTGCAATGAAGAACCGAAAGTTTTGGCCATGCAGAATTCCACAAGCTCTGGGAAACAAGCCCAGGCATCCTCTAATCTACATTTTAGTTTTAATCAAATTCCTTCTCTACATTTTAGTTTTAATCAAATTCCTTCTCTCATACTAACAATATTCCCAGTTTTCTTTCCAAAACAATTCTATAATCGCTGGTACACAGTATTTCTCCTAGAATGCCTCTATTTCACAGATGAGAAGGCCAACTTAGCAACGGAAGGGAAAGCGTCTTCACACGGCTGCTGTGCTGTCAACTCCGTGGGCGCCCCCCACCCCAGAGCATGAACGGGGCCCCTGAGGTGCACTGCCACAGTCACATGGCCTTTGGTGCTCTCTGACTGCACCTTCTGCTGAAAAGAAACCCTCAGTGAACACAGTGCAAGCAGGCCAGCCTTGCCTGGTGACATCTCAAAAGGACAGGGACGTCTATGCTTCTAAGGTCTCAGAACTTCAGGCGATGGCCTCCGTGTCTACCTTCATAGTCTTTTGGATGCATTGGGATAAGAGGAATGAGTATATGCCACCTGCTCTCTCCTCTGCCCATTACTGTGAACGAACATATGGCCAAGATGTGGATGATGGGAGCAAGGAGAAAGAAGCGTCCTGGGACCTGTCAGAAGAGGGTCGCCAGATCCTGAACTCCAGGAAGTTAAGCTTCAAGTTCTGGTTTGAGGAAATAATTGGATACGTGGCTGTAGGGGGAGCTTTTGGGGAGCATTTCATAATTGTTATTTTAGGTTTTAGTGCCCACTCTCTCCCCCAGTTTACTGATTCTATACCAAACATCAGAAGTCATCTGTCCATGCCTTAAGGGTGATGAAAAGCTTTGGAACTAGACAGAAGTGGTGCTCCCTCCACAATGTGATTGTATGAAATGTCACTGAACTGTACAGTTTGAAATGGTTGATTTTACGTTATGTGAATTTCACCTCAAAACAAAACCCTTCCACGTCTCCAGCCATGGGCTGAGCTCTCAGGCCTCTTGTCCTCCACAACAAAAACTTCTGAAAGGCTAGCATGAGCGGATTCTTGAAGCTTTTTATCTGTTCTTCCAAACTCCCCACTCCCACGTTCAGGACACTCACCTGCATTCTTCGGGGTTACTTTTGGCTTCATCTGTGCATCGATAAAACTTTCCCTGGATACAAAACAGACAGACAGTCAAATGTGGGCCCCGCCTGAAGAAGACGGGCTGGGCTCCATGCTTAAAGGCCCTTCCCTGTACCTTGAAGAGCTGCACCCCGATGCAAGCAAACATGAACTGGAGGAGGGTGGTGACGATCATGATGTTGCCAATTGTCCGGATGGCCACAAAGACACACTGGACCACGTGCTAGGGAGAGGGGGTGGGGAGGGGACAGGGGAGTGTTAGTTCCCTGTGTTATTTCAGCCACGAGGTGAACTAATACCAGCCAAGATTTTCTATGATTATATGCAATTTTATATTATTTTCCTACCTGACAGTCCCTTATGCTTCGTTTTTCAGGTGGTTATCTATGGAGTTACCCCCAGTGCATTATGGCCCCCTGGGAGGAACGCCCTGTAAGGAGGTTCCTCCTTGGCTTCCTCCAAAGCAGTGAGCTCAGTCAGAAGAAATGCCATGGGGTACAGCACTGCCTGGCACAAGGGTCCTGTACCCCATAAGACGACTTAGGAAAATGTAAACCCTCTGGCCTTTTGTACAAACTGCACAAGAATAGATTTAAAGACTAAAAGAAACCCAGAGGAACACTATTAATAATGAAAAAAGTAATGAAGTGTGAGCAGTAATCAAATAAAGAGAAACATCTTAAATGAACAAAAAATTTAAAAAATAATAACTTTTTTTCATGGAAAGCCCTTTTATTTTAAATATAGCAGTGTGTACATGTCAATCCCAAACTCCCAATCTATCCCTCCCCCTACCCTTCCCCCCCTGGTAACCATAAGATCATTCTCTAAGTCTGTGAGGAAAATAATAACTTGAAAAACACTGCCAGCACTTAGCAGAGGCAGCTTCATTGGTTAGAAATGTCCTTTTCAAAGGCAAAGCTCACTGGAAAATCCATCAGGCCTCAACCCAGTCCCGGCCCAGAAAAATCAGTGATGACAGCTAACCCCAACTGAAGCCAGCCCAGCCTGGAGAGGAATCCAAACCTTAAGTCCTTTTGCTCTGTTGATTGCCCTGAGCGGTCTCAGAACCCTTAAGACTCTCAGGATCTTCACAACAGAGATGGCACTGGATCTAAGGGAAAGAGCAGAGGAAATCAAGCAAGCAGAATGTATTACAGTGGGTAAAATGCTGTGAGATGATTTCACTTTAGTACAACTATGGTGGGGCCACGTGGAGCAGAGCTAATCTCTCCGCATGAACCACACACGAGGGTGGGTCTCCTCCTTCCGGCCCACGCTCCATGGCACCTCCTAAGCCAGGCCCCCCGCACTCTCAGAGACCCTGACAGGCACACAACTAATGTAGCAGAGACACAATTTAGGAGTTTGCTTTATTCTTTCCACCTGATGTAAATGCTAGGCAGTACTTGGCTGAGTTGCGTTGGTTTGGTTGGTTTTCCAAGTTTGGAGGCCTGCTGCAGTGCCCTGGTGCTGGGCTTCTCTGGCCTTCAAGGAGTCCGCCGTTGGGTGGGAGAGATGGGCAACCGCAAGCCAGCATGTAGGTGTGACAACAGAGAGAAGGCAGCCAGGGGAAAAGACCTTGGGGAGTCTGGGAAGGCCCCATAGAGGTGATATCAGGTGAGTCCCAAGTGGGTATGGGGTTAGCATATGGGGGGGCGGCAGCTGGACGGTGCAGGCACAGCTGCGAGCTTACAGGCGTTGCAAAGATACTCGTGAGAATGCCTTTCCGAGTTGTGACTACATGGCTCCCTCTCACTGGGTACTGATGGGAGGTGAGGAAGAGGATTTTAACACAGGGCAGTTTCAGGCAGGGGTCCTCCCCCTTCTGAAGGGGATAGAGCCTCTCATTTCCCTTTAGTTCAGAGGCCATGTGCACACATGTGCTCTCATATGAGGGGCACTGATGGTCAGCACCTGAGCAGAGGTGCTTCAAAGTCAGCAGGAAAGCAAGACCACCCCTGGACGCTCCCACTGGAGCCTCTGTCCCAAACCCCCAGGTACGGCAGGCAGGCAGTGTACAGCTGGGGCTGTTCTCCACCAGAAATCCCTCAATGCCATGGAAAGGTCCTGGGGCTCTGACTTGCAGCTTTGGCCCCTTCTAGCTAAAAATTTTAGATGCCGGGCTTCCCTGGTGGCGCAGTGGTTGAGAGTCCGCCTGCCGATGCAGGTGACACGGGTTCGTGCCCCGGTCCGGGAGGATCCCACATGCCGTGGAGCGGCTGGGCCTGTGAGCCATGGCCGCTGAGCCTGTGCATCGGGAGCCTGTGCTCCGCAACGGGAGAGGCCACAACAGTGAGAGGCCCGCGTACCGCAAAAACACAACCAAAACCAAAAACAAACAAATAAAATTTTAGATGCCAAAAGAAAAGGGTCATAGCAGCTGATTTATCCTGGAGAGTAAGGGCAGCCTTCAATATCCAAGCTGCAAAGGCCTGAGAGGCCACCTCGTCCAACCTCTCCTGTATAGATGGGGAACTGAGATCCTGGGAGAGGAGCCCCCACCGGCCCCGGGCCCTGGGCCAGCCCCTGGAGAACCCAGAGTAGAGTCCAGCTGCCCTCCCTCCTAGTCTAGACTTCTTTCACCCTCTTTTGAAAAAAAGATCACAGAGAATAATGAGCACAACCCAGCAGAGGGCATAAAAAGAGAAACAGAAACACAAGAAAGGATGAGTTGTCCCAATGCTTTCTGGCATGGGCACAAATTAAGCTTCCCCAGATAACCGAATGCCATAATTAAAACGATGCCTAGGCTTTATGAATTATGTTAAGATTCCTCACACAGACCTTCCTGCCCAACAGTCCTGTACACACACGTTCACACACACCCCAGAATACTTACTGGATCCCAAATGACACCAGAGACACCCCAACGACCAGCATATCCAGTAAGTTGAAGTAGTTCCTGCAGAAAGCCCCTTTGTGGAGGAAAGCTCCGAAAGTCGTCATCTATAAGCAGAATCATGAGTGATTTAGAGTTTTGTTTTTCTTTTCTCTCTGCAAAGGAAAAGAAACCTGGGCTCTTTACAAAAGCTTGAGCAAAGTATGACTTTACGAACAAGTGTGCATTAGGAAGCCAGAAATGTAAACCAACAGGGCAGAGCAACTGAATGCTTTGTTCAAAAATGGAAAAGGGGCAGCTGATTTCCTATACATTTTAAAAGAAGAGAGCAATTATTTCACTGGACATTATCACAGTGAAAACAAATTTCAATTAGGAATATATCGTTGGCACGTCCAAAGGCTCTGTCTCAGCAGAGAGTCCACTTGACCAGGTTTGTCAGGATGTAATCACTGCCCAGACAACCTGGCTTCCCCACAAAACGCCAGTTCCGGCCCTTCGGAGACCCCAGCAGAGCCCACATTGCTCCAACCCAGACTTCCCAAGTGGGGCTAGAAGTGCCCGAGCCCCGGGCTCACATGCTCCGTTGATATAGAAACGTGCATGGTTTTCCCAGGCCCCGTATTGCTCCTAAGGGCCCTTACTGATACACCCATTTAAAAGGCTCCTCCAAGCCCAGCTACTCTAGCATGTGCCAGGTGTGGCTCAGAAGCCGTCACCTGCTAAGTCACGGCCCCGAGTACCCGGAGCCCACACCGCAGGTTCCCCACTGAACTTCCTGAATAAGGAGCTTAGTGAGGAAGTGCTCCAGAATAAAAACTGCAAAATACATGGAGTTACTGCTTCTTTAGAAAAACGGATGGGAGAAGTTTCAGATAAGTACAGGAGAGGAGAGGCAGAGCTGGGAGCTAATTCTACTGGCCCATGTTGAACTGCCAATAATTAACCCTCTTTAACCTACAAAAAAAAGGCCACTTCAGATGGTTTAACCCAGTATCCAAACAGCCTTCCAAATCCTCCCCAGGCCACCAGGAACCACTCTTTCCATGTCAGCTGCTTCTCAGAGATTCTGCATTTTCTGAATCCTTGTTTTAGCTCATTTTCCACTCTATGAGATACTTTCAAAATGAGAATTGATTTGGAAGATTTAAGTCACTGAGGCAAATATATTAAAATTGAAAAGCAATAATTGTGGGGTTTTTTCTTTTAAATAAACCTGTATCTCTTTGCCCTGAAGCCCAAGAGGAACTAAATGCACTGAACAACTTAAAAATGTGGAAAGTAAAAACCTCAATTAACCAGGCTAACAGGCTAAAGATAACATTTTCCCGTTCAGTTTGAGGAGAAGGCAAATTGCCAAAAAAAAGACAGCTCAGGATGAAGCAGAGGCCAGGTGAGCGTACTTGCACCCCACGCCCTGGGCCTCCTGCTCCAATGCCCGTCACCGTGGAGACGGAGGTAGAATCTGCTCACTGACCGAGGCAGCATCTCACTTAGGACAACCGTCAACCAAATTTACTGGCCTAAAGGCAGGAAAAAATGAACTCAAATGTCTAGAAGATTTTTAGCAAGGGTTTAAACAGAGGTTGGTTGGTTGGTTTTGTGCTAGTATTTTCATTAACCAAAAAAAAAAAAAGGAGAGAGAGAAAATAAATACCCTATTGCCTGGAATGTTAACTGAGGTTTCATTTTACAGAAGATTTTGTAAAGAGCCCAAGTTCCACGGTACATTTAAAATACGTATTTTTTTCTTTTTTTTGTCCTGAGATGCACACACAAAATCCCCAACATGGTTTAAAGAAACTGTGGTTCCAAGACCTCATTTCCCAGCTTTTCTCTCCACTAGGAGATGACTGCCCTGACAGTTGTCCCAGGCCACGTTGTCCCAGCACTGCGAGGACGCATGCCCCTCAGCAAGTCTGGGGTTCTGGGCTCTCCGCTGTGGGTCTCCAGACCTCTGAGTACATAGGAACGAGCTCTCCCCAGGGTGGCTTCCCAACCAGGACACAAACCACATGCAGCAATGGCGACTGGCAACTCATGCATGGGCAGTACATTCCGGGCCCCCCGTCCAGAGGGTGCGCTTTCCGTTTGTGTAAATGTAAGCCCATCCATTAAAACAGATATATCTTAACACAAAGAGACCCACATTATCTTGCAAATCCTGTTGCAAGAAAATAGTGTGTTACTCTTTTAGGGCACTGAAAACATAATGCAGTCAAAGAAATGAGAAGAGAGACATTCCCTTCGCAGGAGAAATGCTTTTCCTCCGACTTTGATGTCAAGAAGGGTGGAAGAAAGTTCACACATAGTGTTGTATCTGTTATCAGTTGACACATTTCAGAGGACATTAAAAAAGGAGCAAAATATAATTCCCAATCACTATTAGGAAGCCAAAGTAGCTCCTACATGCATTCAAAGGTTAAAAAGAAACAGCAAAAACAAGTTGAATGGTTACAGGAAAAAAATCCTTTGGTTAAAAAAAAAAAGAAAAGCGGAGCTTGATCACAGAGGACAAAAACTGAAAACAGCCAAAAGCACGCCACGCGTCTTGGCCGTGTGTCACACACAGGAGCAGGCCCCTGAAACACACTCCTGTGGCACCTGTTACCTTCAAAACGATCTCAAATGCAAAAGTACCAGTGAAGACATAATCTGCATAACCTAGCATCTGGAAGGTAAACAAAGAATTGCCACCGTTATTGCTACCGCTGCTTCAGAGTATGCGAGGATCAATGAAAAAGCCATTACCTTCAACAGGATTTCAACAGTAAAGATGGCTGTGAAAGCATAGTCAAAGTAACCCAGTATCTGCAAGGCACAACACGTGGAGATGAGAAAAAGGCATCTGGACAAACCCCAACAGCTACACGCCCACAAGCGGTCAGAGACCCGTGCTCCCGGGATATGCCTGCCACCCTGGAGGAAAGTGCAGACATGCTCAAAGGGCCCCACCTTGGTCCAACCAAGAACTTTGGGGATACTTACCTCCTGTAAGCACTCCGGGTGACCGTCGCCCGCCCCCCGGCCCAGCCTCGTGTTCTGGGCAGACAGAGGCTCACTTATGAAAGCACTATGCTGATAAGTAACTTGTGGCGCCAGATAAATTAGTCTCACACACATTCTAGATTTTTAACTGCCTTTTTGGTAGAATGAAATATGCTGTCATTCAGCTGAACTTTGGATTGGAGGGAAAATGTAAACAAAGGTATTAGTGGCACCAAATGGGGCCACGTGTCCCCTCCAATTCCAGCCCATTCAATCAGGGAGCAAACATCCTTCCCCCACCGATGTGCCGGGCTGGAGAAACCTGCAAGGAAGAGTTTCGCTTATCATCTTCCTCCTGCCAGCTGCTCTGCATCTAACACTGCTCGCTCTCTCTCAAGGCAGGTGTTTTCCTTGCTGGGCCCATTCAAAGAACGGACTGACTTGGCCTCTGAATGATGGTCCAGGCCACTTTATCAGCATTCCTGAGAATACCGTCTCCTTTCCAAGCAGTGGAGTCCTGCTAACCCCTTCTGGGGTCCCTGCTTCTCCTCAGAGCCATGGGGGCTGAAGGGCGGGCAGGTGGGCAGCAGTGGAGCTGTCTAAGGCTGCCCACAGAGAATCCTCGGCCACAAACACAGCAGCCGAGACTCTGCCACTGGAAGAGGCCGTCTGGGCTGCTTATCTGCATGACAACTGGGCCCTGTGGTTTGGGGGAACTGAAGAGAGTGGCCCTGGAAGATAACCCGTGAAGCCCACCCAGGCCAACTCCGTTCATTTCACAGAGGTGGATGCTGAAAACGGGCCGCTGCTCAGGCCACTCGGCCAGTCTCTGCGTCGCTGAGCGGGAAGCCAGGCCTCCGATGTGTCAGTCCAGAGCCGCGGGCCCTGCTGTGTCCGTGTGGGACCCACCCCAGGGGAGTCCTTACTACTGCTACACTAAGGCAGGGCCTCGTTTCAAAGGCAGCCCTCCTTGCTGGAGTCCTCTCCAGACAGTATTATTCATTTCCCAAAGTGTTTCCACTTGGGGATTTATAAATTTTACTGGAACCCTTCTGTGTATCTGTGTTTCCGGCCAGGCGACGAAAGGTCTTTCCCAGTACACTACCAAGGCTGCCCACAGGGAACCCCGCCCCTCCTCCTTAGCCCCTCCGAGGTCGCAGCAGGGCTGTGCCTGCTGAAAGCACGTGGGTAGCCAAGAATGACACAGCTGCCGACAAGCCAACAACTCAGCCTGGTACCCAGGGTCAAAGCTCTTGGATGCAGGTTGTTCTTTCCTCACTCTGCCTCCTTTCTCTTTTTCACTAATGCATCAGCTAAGGTTTTTTAAAAAAAATAAAATAAAAAAGCACTGCATGATATTAGTTATATGACGTATCTAAAGTAGTGAAACTCGCAGAGAGAAAGCAGAATGGCGGTTGTCAGGGGCTGTGGGCGGTGGACATGGGTAAAGTTCCTGTCATACAAGGTGAGTGAGTTTCAGAGATCTGCCATCCAACATGGTGCCCAGGGTTAAGGATACTGTCTTGTATCCTTAAAATTTTGTCAAGGAAAATCTCATGTTAAGTGTTCTGACTACAGTCAAATAAAAACACCGTGGTATTTTAAAAGCAAGACACACATACATATGTACATCTATTAAAAACGAACAATAACATTCTTGGGAAAAGTTGCAGGGAAATGAACCCACGGGGAAGTAATTACAATAAAAACTTAGAACATGAGGCCCGCATATAAATTAACTCTTTGTCAATCTGTGTTCTAGGACTAGCTTCTGACCTAGTCCATCACATAATGGTATTTTTTTCCCAAACAGCTTTCCCCCCTTGTGTCTCATCTTTAGGATGGAACCAGTGACACTGAGGGCCTTGTTGCATCTGAGTGTTTAGACAGCCTCGAGAATCTTAACAAAAGCCCTAACCTCTGAGTACAGATTGCGACAGGCTCAGGGCCTTCATCTTTACATCACCCACACATGCTTTGAGGGGAAGATCCTTTAATCTTTGTATCAGGGTGCTCGAGTTTCAGCAATCTGATAGATTGGGTTTGCCAGGCTTCAAACCAAGAGCACTGGAAATGAAAAGACAGCACAGGGCTTGGTTGTCACAACTGAAATCGTGGGACACTGATCTGGTGATTCGTCTAAATCCACAAATCTCTAGTACAGAAAGAGGTACCAGCCGGGCAAGGCAGCGACCCCTGATGGCCTCGCACACTTGCGGGCCTCCTTCCCCGGGCAGCTTTCTGGGCGATCATCTGAAACTATGCTACGGTATTGAGGCCGGGCAGTCAACAGGCTACCGTCCTCTGAAGCTGTCTTGCCTCTGGACTGTTCTCAGTGCTGACAGCTGACCTGCTGAGACTGAATTTCTCAGGCAGGAAGTGCTTTAGGTACCATCTCTGCCCAACATCGATGCTGGGGAAGGGAGCCAGCCCTAAATTACGAAACTGATTACAAATACAAGAATAAACCCTCTGCTTGTTTTCTTCGTAAAGGCACCTCCTGCCCCAAACTAACCAAAACTTAGTTCTTCTCCACTGAGCCCTTCAGGTCCACATGTGTCATCTCCCTAACTTGTATTTCTTGTCAGTAACAGAACCAAGTAGCTTTGCGCATTTAAGTCTTCCTGCCAACCCTACATAAGAGCTCCCGGGCATGTGACACACCTGGTTTCAATTTTACTTTCTCTCCTGCTGGATGCTGCCACCAGGCGGGAATCTCAAAATAGGTGTGCATGTGAATTGGACCAGGGAGGGGGAAAGAGGGACCAAAATGTTGGCAGCGAGGAACGGAGAGGTAGAGAAGCCGAGCCCCTGAAAATACTCAGTTATTGCAGAATATTTGAAACGAGGTATAAAATATATGATTCAATAAAGGTTTGTGCCCATAAAACAAAACCTCTCTGGCACTGACAAACCTGAAACAAAATGCCTGCAGGTGAACAAGAGGCCCACTTGAGCTTTTGCCCTCATGGCCCCTGCAGGTCCTGCACGGACGCGGCCTCTGCCCAAGAGCTCAGCACCAACCCGGGGAGCCCCGCCCTGCCGTCCTCGCTGGGGGCTTACAGTGTTCCGGAAGGAGTGGCTGCGGATGGGGTCCTCGGCGGCGAGGGCAGCGCTGCTCAGCATGATGAAGACGAGGATAAGGTTGGTGAAGATGTGGTGGTTGATGAGCTTGTGGCAGCCCACGCGGATCCTGCGGGGAAAGCCGCCGCATGGACGCAGCCCCAGAAGGGCCCGGGCCCTCAGCACACTAGGGCCACTCCGCGTTGACGAACCAGGTGGAGGACAGCTGTCCCTGTGCCGCCCAAGCCCCGACCCAGCAAACGGACCCACCAGACCATCAGCGCCTGGAAACCCCAGGATGGCAGACCCCAAGTGTTCTGTATGGACACACTGCAGACACCATTCACTGAGTCCTTAAAAGTGTGGACACTGTCCTTCTAAAGGTGAAGAGACTGAGGCTTCAGCCTGTGAAAGAACGTTCTTAAGGCGACCCAGCTATGGGAATTCCCCGGCGGCCCAGTGGTTAGGACTCTACGCTCTCACTGCCGAGGGCCCAGGTGTGATCCCTGGTCAGGGAACTAAAATCCCACAAGCCGAGCAGTGTGGCCAAAAAAAAAAAAAGGTGACCCAGATAGTAGGGACCAGGGGAAGATTTCCAATCCAGGTCTGAGGGTGACATATCCCCACCATAACATGAAGCCCAGCTGCTCCCTTTCCCTGCCTTGGAACAGAGACCAAGGTCAGAGCTCATGCCAAGAGCTCAAAAAGAATGGAAGCAATCCCAGCAGTTGGGCTGTATCAAAACATGACCACGGTAAGTGAGGCTTGGTGCAGTCTCCTGTTACGCGGAGATTCTGTCGTAAGTGCTATTTTTGCAGGGAGGAGGGGGAGTCGACCCACAACAAGTACTTCTGAGCAAGTCAAGTGAAAGTTACACCATCATGCAAGAATCTCAGAAGGATGCTACCGCGTGTGCTCAGCACCCCCAGCCCCGGCTCTCACAATGGCTCCCCAGGCCATCAGAGCCTTTCCTGACGCCCCTGATGTCCCATGGGCTAGTTAGTTAGTGCCTGACTTCCCTTAGCCTCAATGTTTGACTTTAGAATTTAAAGATTATTTTTGTCTATAGAACACATGTAGGTTTTCCTTTGAAACGTTTTTTTTCACTTTAAAAAACTGGAGTCCACTTTATATGAAGGTGACCCCTTGCTTCAAATCTTCCCTTTTGGGGCTGCTTAATGCTGGGATGTGGTCCCTGGAGGGCCTGCAAGCCATCAGCAGCTAGGGAAGGCCTTCCAGTGCTGTGAGGGCAGGAGTGCTCAAAGCTTTGGGGGAAAATCGATCCATTCCTCCAATATAGGCAGACGTAATGAGCTGTAGATGTCAGTGACTCAGCTGAATAACTTTTTAAAAGAGATACCCAAACTGTCAACGGTGATGAGTGATGAAGACTACCATCCAGTCTTCAAGTCTGTAAGACTGCGGCCCCCCTTGCTTCCCGCCTATGTCTCCCTGGAGCCTGTGAATTTATGGAGTTCTTTGCTGACAGCCCAGAACTGCTTCTGCAATTCTAGAAACCTTTCCGGGAGCCATCGATTCCCCCTGGCACTTCACTCCATCCCAGATCATTTGAAACCTAGAAACCAGCTAGTAAATACACATCTTCCTCTTACAGTACTTGTGAGTAATTACCATGTTCCTGGTGAGCACATGATCATTTCAACAAGAGAAATGCATTTTAAGCAGGATATCAGGGAGCTGAACTGAACAGCTGCCATCTATACAATATCACTGAGCGATTATTACTTTATCACCATCAAACTCAATAGGGAAAAGTAATCAACTAAACTGGATCTCTGGGTGAAGATACTCTGCAGAAGTTGGTCAAAATCCTCATCCCCCACAGCATCTTAACAGAGGCCCCCTCGTGAAGAAAGGGTCCTTTGGGTGGAAAACACTTCACAAGTGACGACTCGCGGCACACCAGAGCCGTGGGCTCTGACCAAGCCACAGTACTGCACCACTGCTGGCCCAGTGCAGGGGTTGGTGGGGAGGAGAATCTGGAACAGCACTTCTCCCAGGACCGGGTCACACCCCTAAGCCCCTGGTCCAGGCACAGGAAGGCTAGGAAGAGATGCACAGAGGGCAAAGGCAAGGCTGGAGCAGGACAGGGGTCCGAGGGGGCTTGGGGGCCCCGACGCTCAGGCGCAGAAAGGGGCTGAGAACCATCTTCCCTCACCCCATCCCCAGCCACCCTCAAGCAACCTGTAGGGTCCTGGGGGAGACGGGGCAGCCGTGCAACTAGAAAGGGGATATTTACGGGTTGGTCTTGCTAAGAATGAAGAAAGCGCTCCCTTCGGGGATGGGGGTGATTTTCTCTTTCATGTTCAACTCAGACATTCTTCGAGGACGGGGGCCAGCAGGAACCTCGGGTTCATCCTCTTCCTCCTCCTCTTCCTCTTCACCTACTTTAAAGGAGACACTTTTTTTTTCGGCGTGAAATAAACAAAGACTGCATTTGGGTTTCCATGGTCGTCCTCAATTTCACATGAATATTTGGCTTAAACGTTAACATCGTCTATCAGCTTACATTAATCAAAACCCTTCCAAATCCGAACGGAGAGTATATGGGGGCGGGGAGGGGCTGAGAAGCGGCCGTCTGGTGAGCATGCGTAGCTGTGGGAATGAGGCCCCAGCAGTTTAAGGTCTGAGCGAAGGTGAAGGTGGCAGCTGTGGGATTCTCACTGCCCATCCCCCCAGCACCTTGCTGCTTCCCCAGCAACCTCCGTGCTCAGCTTCAGCCTGAAAAGCTGTGTGGGGTTTCAAGTCACACACAGGCCCCCAGGCTCCCTGATTCCACGGTCCCTCCTACGTCAGCCAGTAAAGGCCCCAGTCGAGGTGAAAGTATCAGGTGAATGTTGATAACTGGCCGTCTCCTAGAGAGATGTCCCAGCCCAGTGTGGGCTTGCCCCGCTCCACCTGCACGTTCTCTCCCCACCCCCTGGAGCCTAGGTTACATGAGCCGCCTGCAACCACGAGGAAAAGCAGAGCTAACCGGCCCACGAGGGGACTGCACCCGTGGCCTCGGCGGCCTCGGCGGCCCCGCGTGCGCCCAGATGGGCCAGCCAGCCACAGACTCAGCCGCTGATCAGACTGAGAGTAAAGACACATGGCTCACGCGCTGAGAGCCTGTCTCGGGCCTCCGCCACATACCTGGCACATCACAAGGCGGGTAGGGGTCTTTGTCCTCATCTTCTTCTCGGTAGTCATCGATGGTGACCTGGGAAGACAAAGAGGTCTTGGCAGGAACGGAGACTGACTTAAATGTACTCGAGAGGGGCAAGTAAAGGCTCAACCCTGCCGTCCAGCAAGGGGCAGAGGAACTGTCTCCAGAGTGTGCACTGTATGTAAGTGTGTCGGGACAGCTGGTGCCCCCAGATGGTGACTCTGCTGAAAACAGAAGGTCTGAGGGCAGAAGAGGAGTAAACTGGTGTAACCCCTACCCAGCCATGGACAGCCAGCCCCACCCATGCCTCCTCCTCTCCCAACACTGGCACCCACGCTACATGAGAACTGCCTTACGGATTCCTGCCACCCCGCCAGACTGAGAGCCCCACGCACGCAGGGACCTCGCTGGTCTTGGCCGTTCCCGGTTCCCAGTATCTGACACACAGTCACCACTCAAAAAGTATTTACTGACTCAGTGAATAAATGAACAAATTAATGAGAAATCCAGGGCTGACACGGTGCACAAAGTTTCACAGTAGGGCCTTAAGCGCCCAGATCCTCTGATCCTGAGACACCCGCACTCTGGGGACAGACATCTTTCAGCAATCCTTGGTTTTAATCCCCACTGAGAAGATACTGACACAGGTCAGGCCTGACCACATCATTCCAATCAAGAAGAAATAAGCAGTCAGACCAGTTCAGTATGCATCATACCAGCTCTCTGGTGAAATACCGTTAACAACCAGCTAAGCGCCTTAATTCACTGACACCCCTGGAAAGCCAGTGTCTATGACGGGGTGCCACACTTTCACTACTCCAAAATACCACACACAACACTGTCATGGTGTAAAGGGTACATTTACGGTGATATCAACAGAATCATTTTGAAACAAAGTGGAGAATGTAACATCTACCTTGTTGTCACTGTTGGCTATCTGGTTAATTTCTGGTTTGTTGTTCTTTTTATTTTCCAGGCTTTCTTTTCTACAGAGAAGAGGAGAGAACAAAAAAAAACCCACGTAACCATACTGCTTTGTATAAAAAAGCTAATCAGGATTCTGAATCAACAGTGGCCCAGGGAAGGACGGAAGTTAATTGGAAACAACCCTAATAGCAAGAACGTAGCACAACCCACACCCAGAGCTTCCTGTTCACCTCACTGCACTGGATTCATTACACAGATCATCTTATTAAAATTCTCATCCAAGAGCTAATCAGCATTGAACGCATCATTTATTTTATGACGCCAAAACTAACTGCAGTGATTCGTGAAGCATGGGGACGCGTGACTCCTGCTCTCAGCTCCAAGGGGATGAGAGCCGAGGGCCTGGGTTCTGCCCAGGAGTCCATCCTCTCTGGTCGGCCTCACAGGACCAGCCAGGATCGCCACAAAGCAGCAGCACAGGAGCTGCAGCTGCCGTGCAGCCGGGCGCCCCGGCAGGCCCCACCTGCGAACGGCTCCTCGGGGCAAACCCCTCAGCAAACCGCCCAGGTGGAAATGGGGTTACCTGGCAATCTTCTTCCTTTCCTTTTCCTCAGCTTCCTCTTTCTGAGCAGTATTCAGGCTTTCAGCATCTGCCAAGTTGTCTACAGCGATGGCCAAGAAGACGTTCAGTAGAATATCTGATTTGAAAACGTTAAGGATGCAACACGGTTCTAAATGCAGCTACGCACGGTCAATAATGGCAATGAAACACCCCCGTGTTCAGGAGGCTGGTGACAGGTAACTGTCCCCTAGTGCTATGTTCACTTGGTAAAGCTAGGAGACCGGAGTCCCATTTTTTTTTCAAAAAGAACTAGAACCTGTAGAAGATGAGCTGGCCAAAAACAAAATTAAGATTCACCAAAACCCATGAAAACCTACAAACGCCAACATTCCCCTTCATGCGTGTGCATGTATGTGCTTGTGCGTATGTGTCTATACATCTAGGGGTCTATGGCTATGACACACATTGCATAAAACAATCTATAACATAAGCGTGTTGTTTTTATGCATTTTGCATTTCGCTTTATGCCTTTTGTTTTCTTTCTTTTAAAACACTCACACCCACAACATATCTATCTGGGGTGTCCTTTCCAAATAAGACCCCGCAAAGGCTACACATTATTCAAATGATGATCCCGTCGCACAAGGCAGCCGGAGCCTTTCTTATTTGAAATGACCTTCCGAGTCTGTGAATACCTCGTTCATTCGTTCATTCCACAAACACTGACTGACTCCAGCACGCCTGCCTTATTGCCCGATGGCGCTGGACCACTCCTCTGCACTGTCCCCCGGTGGCTGTATCTTAGACTATTGTGGTTGAATTTCATTTTTGCAAATAGTAAAAAGTTAGGTGACTGAACAAGTTATCAGGTTTTTGGCTCTTACTATAATGTCCTATGTGTGGTTTCCTTGAATGACTGAAAAAAATATGCTGAATAAGGTTCCCAAATCAGACGATGCCTGTTTCTTACTTGTTAGCAGTTAAGTACATTTTGGAGAAGCACAGGGATCAGAGGGCAATAAATAGGTCAAGACGACTCCGTTCTCTGACTGATGCTTCCCTCTAGCTGACGTACCGCCACCCGCGTGCAAGACAACGGGAGCCCAGGGACCCCAAGACGGGAGAGGCACAGCACAGTCCCACACACCCCCTGCAATCTGAACTCTCAGGCAGGTTGCCGAACATGTCAACAAACATAACCTAACAAGGCGCTGATAATGAGCAGGCTTCCAGGGGATGTCATGCTTGACCTATTCAAGTCTTTAAAGAGGACAGAAATGTGAGTGGATTCTATGAAGGCTTTCAAAACACCTTTGATACAGTAGGATTATTTTTTAACAGAGCGGCAATGAGCCTGGGGAAGCAGTTTGTCCTGGGCTTGGCGATGGCTTGGCAACACGAGCTCTCCTCTGACAGACGTGGGGTAATCATGGCTCAGAAAACGATTAGTGCTGGGAATAACTGCACTGAGAATCCCTACTAATGATCGCAAGGAACAAATACTGCATCTCTAGTCTTAAAATGACACCAGATTCTTTTGGGTAGTAGAAAGAAAACGCAGAGTAATAAACCACAGGAAAATCTCGCAAGTTTGTAACGGGTGGTTTCCAAGAGCAAATACCCATTATCTGCTTTTAGAAGCATTACCCACCAGGCCCTCCTAAACAGTGGTGTGCTGTGGAATCTATTTGAAAACATCTGTCAAGCACCTCTGATGTGCCAGGCACCGTTCTGGGTGCTGGGGACATGGGAGGAAACAGGACAGACTGGAGTCCAAGCTCCCAAGTAGCGTCTATTCTAGCTGGGGGGGACAGAACATAAACTACTTAAGGATTTCAGAGAGTGACACAGGTACTACAAAGAAAACACAATATCTAACTGGAAAGTGGCCAGGGAATACTTCTCTGCCGATTAGGGCCAGTATACAGCTGTGGCCTAAAGAATTCATCACGAGAAGAGCAGAAAAAGAAAATACTGATCATTCACTTAACAAACACTGACCAAGGGCTGTGCGTGCAGGACCCTGTGGTGCAAGCCACGAGACACGTGAATACAAAAAGAGATCGCTGACTCAAGAAGCTTCTCATCTAGTCGGGAAGATGGAGAAATGCCACCCCAAACTCCAGCAGGACCCACAGGCAGTAAGAGGCATATGCAGACAGCCGGGCAGGAGAGCTGCCCTCCGGGCAGGGGGAGCAGGGTGGTTCCCTGCAGCAGGGCTGTTGGAGCTGCATGAGAGACTCCTAGGATTTCTCTGTGTTGAAAGAGGGACTTCCACATAATACACTGAAGAACAAAGCATTGTCCCCATAGGTTTGCACTGGGGTTTCCACCCTGAAGAAAATTCACTAACAAGCTAGAGAACATACAGCTCAAGGGATGTTGTATGAAATTAAATCTGTTTTCCGCCTCTTAATCTGTCTTACCTCAATTTGATTACAAGCCAGCCAAAAGAACCTGCAAGCTAGAGGGACATTTTTCCTCCCTACACCCTCAAGGGCGATGGCACGGAGAACAACAGGGCTTTGTCCTAAGCCATGCCTTGGGACCTGTACAGGAGATGGGACGTCATGCCGAGTGGGTGGCCACTGGTGCAGCCCACGTGCCATCTCAGGCTCCCTCCCATGGCTGCTCTCATTCCTCAAAGCCTAACTGAGACTCTGCTTCTCCTGTGCTGCCCTAGCAACAGCGAAGGAGGGCACAAGGGTGAGGTGAGGGCACTCACCTCCCCACCACCACGGCTACCACCATTGCCACGGGGAAACTCAGAGAGGAAGACAGCAAACACGACAGGGACAACAAGGCGGCCCGGGCCAGCCTGAAGGCTGAAGGATACAGTTACCACAAATGAAGAGGATGATGAAGTAGATGCAGACGATCATTCCCGAAGACGACGGGCCCCCGTAGGCCATAATGCCATCGTACATCACAGCATTCCAGTCTTCACCTGTCAGAATCTAAGAAGCCAAAACTGGGATCAGCGGGCAGGTGGACTCACAGTTCCCACGGTTCTCCCAGAGCTCCTGGGGGCTGCCCGTGTCTGGTGTAACCTGCCTTTCACAGTTCAGTTTGCACTGAACAAATGCATCTGTTATCCTATAGTTTTTTAAATGTTATGCTTAATCACATAAATACATGAGTTAACTCTTCTGGTGAAAATAAAATAGCATTCCATGTAAGACTTGTGTACCCTTTGACTACACCCCTGCCCATTCGGTCCGCTCCCCAGGAGCATGCTGTTGGTGTGTCTCTCCAGGACCTTTGTGCATTTAAACACGTATATGCATACCCAGAGAAAACGGGCCGTACAACCAAATAGAAATTTGGCAAATGGTTTGACAAGGCGAAGCAATTCACAGAAAAGGAACTATAACTGGCTCCTGCCCACCTGAGAAGACATTCAACATCACTTCTGACAACAGTAATATCAATTAAAACTACAATGAGATACCATTTCCACCTACCAGACGGGCAGTGATCGAAACGTCTGAACACGCACTATGGTGAAAGGGAGTTAGGTAATGGGCAGTCCCCACACCCCATCACCGGAGGATGAACTACCACAGCCTTGAAGACAATACTTGGGCAAGGGTGTCAAAGTTAAAAATGGACACACACCCTTTAAACCAGCTTGGGGGAATTTATCCTACAGACCTACTGTCACACACGTGCCCCGTGGTGTATCTTCAAGGTCATCCACTCAGCCAAGACGAGACACAGTGGAATATCCATCAGCAGGGGACTGGACCCATGAATCCTGGCACGCCCACACCACAAAACAGAGCAGCATTGAAAAGGAGGCAGCAGCTTTTTACGGACCAGTAAAGAAGGTTCTTAAGGACATGTTAGGTGTTAAAAGGAAAGATGAAAAAAAGCACGTAGGATGAGCTACCATCTGTAGGTAGATAGGCGGGTAGGTAGGTTTATTTACACCTGAGCGAATATACTGGGAGAACACCGAAGAATCTGCTTAATGGTGGTTGCCTCCGACAGCGGGAAAATGGCGGCGGGGTGGGAGGGAGACTTGTCCCTGTATACGCTTTTTTAACATTTGAATTTTGTGCCGTGCACACGTACTACAAAAACCACCGCCACCATGCAGGTTTCTCTGAAAGTACCAAAAAAAAAAGACTCATCAGTGGCCAAAAATTAAAACCGAGTTAATATTGTACTTTACTGCTACAGGCCAGGTCTAGAGCAGTGACAGTAATTCCATTCACTTCGAAACGTCCAAGTAGGAAAGAACCTTAGAGATCATTCCCTAGGCTCTCATTTTTCAGAAAATAGTGACTTTCCAAGGTCACAGAGCTGAGCACTGGAGGAGCCACCGTGGGACGTCCATGTCCACTGCCCCTCCCGCCAGGCCTTCCCCCCTCTCCCGCAGGACTTACTGCTGGCATCGCATGTGAAAAGCAACAAGGACAGATGAGGGCAACAAGGGCGCTGCGTGGCTTGTGGGATCTTAGTTTCCCGGCCAGCGATGGAACCCACGTTCCCTGCAGTGGAAGCATGGAGTCCTAACCACTGGACTGCCAGGGACTTCCCAGGCAGATGGGTCTTTTTTTTTTTTTTTTTTTGCGGTACGCGGGCCTGTCACTGCTGTGGCCTCTCCCGTTGTGGAGCACAGGCTCCGGACACGCAGGCTCAGTGGCCATGGCTCACGGGCCCAGCCGCTCCATGGCACGTGGGATCCTCCCGGACCGGGGCACAAACCCACGTCCCCCGAATCGGCAGGCGGACTCTCAACCACTGCGCCACCAGGGAAGCCCCAGATGGGTCTTTTAAATCTACCTGCCAGGCTCTAAGGAAGGGCTTCAGCTCACAACACACAAGGTGGGGGTTTGGGACACCTCAGCTTACAGCCAGGTGGGGTGGAGAGGCTGGGTCTCTGAGTGCAGGGCCACCTGTGAACCTCTGACACTGCTGCTCCCTTCTCAGCCCGATGCCTGCAAAGGCCCCAACGGCAGAGACATCCTGAGTCTGTGTGTCCCCATTACATCACACGAGGGAGGACAACAAAGGGCCAGAAAGCTGTCACAACTCTTTAATTACCCTGATTCCTCTGACTATACACCAAGGCATTAGGGCTTTAGAAGTCACTTCTCTGCGTAAATCCATTATAACCAGGATTGCAAAACTTGCCTGCCGCCAAAAATTAGCAAAGGACAAGAAGAGGATTTTAGAGCCTATGTCACAGGAACCTCAGAAACCTCATACAATCAAACACAAATTTTTGGTTGATTATTTCGGAATACAACTAGTGGTCTCACAAAAACGTGAAATCACAGCACATAGATCGGGAGTGAGATGCAAAACAAATGACTTAAATGGCACCAAATTAATCAGAGTGTTATTAGGGCAGAGGTTACTAATACAATAACAATGGAGTGTTTTGTCTTATTGATTCATGGACAGATGAGAAGGCATCCCCTAAGGTGCAGCCCAGGGAAAGGATGGCGGGGGACCCACCTGGAACACCGTTAGAAGCGCTTGAGGGAAATTATCAAAGGTGCTCCGCTTGGTTTGCGTTTCGTCGAAATTAAACTTGCCGCCGAACAGCTGCATCCCCAGCAAGGAAAAGATGATGATGAAGAGAAAAAGCAGAAGCAGCAGCGAAGCGATGGACTTCATGGAGTTTAACAAGGATGCCACCAAGTTGCTCAGGGAGGTCCAGTGCCTGCAAGTCAAGACAAGGGGGTGAGCCCAGAGCGCCACCTGGGATGGAGCAGAAGGTCCCCCAGGCGGGGACAGGGCTGACCACCACCCACGTTCAGAAAACACCTGCAGTGAGATGCGCACGTCCTCACCTGGTCACTTTGAAAATTCTCAAGAGCCGAACACAGCGAAACACAGAGATGCCCAGAGGAGACATGATTTCCAGTTCCACCAAGATCGTTTCAGTAATTCCTCCACACACCACGAAGCAATCAAACCGATTGAAAAGAGAGACGAAATATGCCTGGAGACCCAAGCTGTACATCTTTACAAGCATCTCGCAGGTGAACAGAGCCAAGAGGACTTTGTTAGCAATATCTAGAAAGACAAAGGGGCACATGTCCTCGGGATCTCATCATGGGAGTGGCTCTGACCTCTCCCTCCCCACCTCCCTCTCACCAGCCACTGCTAGAAGTGCCCCAAGAACCTCTGCCCTTGTCTTTGCTCTTGCCCCAATTACAGAAATGCAGCAAGAACGCTTATGGTCTGCTCGTCTGTCAGGCTCTGGTCCTACTTCTGGCTACTACCCAGACGTGTGCCCCTTGGAGAAGTTCCTTGGTTTCTCTGGGCCTCAGCTTCACTGACTGTAAAGTGGGGAGGGGCAGCTTACCACATAATCTCTGATACTTTCGAGCCCTGAAAGCCTACAATTCTGCATTTAGGTCATCACGTGGTTTTTGTTTGTTTGTTTCAATCAGTAACAAAAAAAATCTGTTGGCTCTTCCTTATAGCGCCATGATCTAAGAAGCAGTTGCCTATCAGGGTTACTTCAGAAAATGCCACCCAGCAGGCTGGAGAGTCAGACAGAAACAGATTTGGGTTGATGTCAGGCAGGGCTTCACAATGGCTCAAAACTGTCGAACTCAGAATGGGATGAGCTCCCATTCTCCCTGCTGGGGCATTCGAGGTAGGTGAACAGCCACCGCTTGTCAAGAAAACTACAGAGGAAAATAAAGCTTCCAGTGGAGACGGGGAGAAGGGATGATGAGGTCCCTTCCAGCTGCCTGATTCCTTGATCCCAGGTTGTCACAGGGTTAAGACAACGAGTTGCTCTGGAGTTATCAGCTTCGAGGTGCTTCACGCACCACATGGCACAGACCGCACCCCCTCTCCAGGTGCGCCCTGTGCTTGGTTCTGCCGCCTTCCAAGCTATTGCTCACTGGAAATGGTCCTGGATGCTACCCTATGTCCATCAGAAAAGACTAGACTGCAGTCAGACAGCCTCAGGGATCCCCTATTCGGAACAGAAAGAGAACGGCTTCTGCTTATACCTTGAATCTGTGTCAACCAGTCAGGCTGGTTGTAGTGCTCAGAGGAAATGGTTAAGGTGTTGAGAAACACCAGGACAATAACCAGCCAGTAAAACGTGACAGACTTCACGGCAGCCCTACACCTTCTGCGACTGAAGCGGTTCCAGCGGCGCCAGCGTCGGCTGAAAGAAAAGCAAATGTCACTCCCTGGATGACAGAGGCAGCACCTTATCAACATCACTGAGGAGTAACTGCACTCTGGAGGTCCCAGCTGGGCTCAGGGTGCAGGGAGGAAAGATGAGAACAAATGGCATAGAAATGACCAGACCTCGTAAGACAAATTACTTTGGTTTTAAAAGGCAACTTTTAAAAGCGCAGTCTTGACTTGATGATCATGCTATCAGTTTCCTTCCTATGGCTTTAGATAACCCCATAATCTGTCATATGCAGTCCTCAAACCAGTTAGGAAATCTAGATATTCACAGAATCATGAGTTCGTACACGTATGCAGTTCACGTGCCCACCTCGAGGCACATGGATCTGTCCGAGCGCTCAGGGCAGAGAGACCAGCTTATCACACATCTCTCGCAGCACCTCAGTCATCATGCGGAATTTACCAGGCAGCGAAGTGCTCCCAAACCCGAGTTTTCCTTTTAGGGAAACTTTCAGTCCTTTCTTAAAATTGGAGGTTCCTCTGGAGCCGGAGAGAGCTGTCAACGTTGAGTACTCCTGAGTCATCAGGTGCCCTTTCTAACTAGGGATGCTCAAAATATACCTTCAGGAGAAAAGCTAATATTGAATCATGTTTCCATACAAATAGAATGAGCTGAGCCAAAAAGACAAGTAGCATGTCCTCTACCAATTCGCAGCTGCAGTACGTAATTAGAGAAAGTATTCTTTCCCTTAGCCCGTCTCCCTATAGGAAACGTTCCCTGCCACAGGATGGCTTGGTGAAGGGGGTCCCAGGGAAGGGCAGGCCGAGTGGCAGTGTCAGCTCTGTCCAGCCTGTGCTCAGTGACGGGGGGTGGTGGGCGCTTCCTTTAGGTGCTTGAGTCAGAAGAATCTCCAGGCTGTGTCCAGGGCTGTAGCCCTGGCCGACTCAGCTGCACCGATCTGCTAAGAACACTGTAACCCAGGGGCCAAAGAAAGAGTTGTGCCAGCTCTTTGGCAAGACCTGGAACAGGCAAGGTGCATCTGGTTACTGCTCTTCCTATGTGGTTTCTGATGGTAATGGCAGCTGGAAACATGATAACCAGCATAGAAGAAGTCCACTGAGGACACTAAAAACTGTCCCCACAAGACTGGGTTTCTCCTGTGATGCATAATTCAGTACACATAAGCAAGGTGGCCTGAACAAGATCCAGCCTTGGTGGGTCTATTCACGCTGCAGTGACAAGTCACAGATGTCTCCCAAATCTAGGGGACTGTCTCACCCCCACAAACCCTGCACTAGGCACGTGGAGGTGAAGGCATGGTCCATGGCCCCTGTCCTTGAACAGTATACTGGGCTGTGGCAGGTAATTATAAATCCACACCGAGTGTTACACCCAGGGTACTGGGTACAGGAGCAAAGAGAAGGGAGCTGCAAGGGATCTTTGGAAGAGTCGGGGAAGGCTTCTTCAAAAAGCTGAGGTCTGGGCTGGCTCTCGATAGCTGAGTAAGAGTTAGCCGGGGGGAGAGGGCAGGGCACTCCACTCAGCTCCCCCAAAGAGACTTGGATGGGAAGAACGGGAGTGTGTGGTACATTTGATGGCTTGAAAGCAGTCCAGAATAACGAAGTGCAGAGTCTGGGAAGGGTGTCAAAACATGAGACCATGTTTTGGTGAGCTGGGGGCCAAATTATGAAGGAATTTAAATGCCCTCTGGCAACAGGAAGTCCATGAAAGGGCTTTTAATTTTTTTTCTTTCTTTTTTTTTTTTTGGCCGCGCCCCACAGCATGTGGGATCTTAGTTCCCTGACCAGGGATTGAACCTGTGTCCCCTGCATTGGGAGTGCGGAGTCTTAACTGCTGGACCGCCAGGGAAGTCCCTTTTTTTTAAAGTCAGGTTTACTGAGATCTAATTCACATATGGTAAAACTTACTCTATTTAGTTCTACAGTTTGTAACCACAATCTAGATGTAGAATATTTCCATCACTCAATAAAGTTCCTTCATGGCACTTTGCAGTTAATCCACTCTGCTCACCCCAGCCCCAGAAACTACTGATTCGTTCTCTTTCTCTATTATTTTGCATCATCTGGAATCCTATGAACAGAATCATACAATAAATAGCTTTTTAAGACTGGCTTCCTTCACTTAGTAAAAATTCATTTGTGATTCATTTGTGTTGTTGATCTCTCAGTAGTTATTTATTTATTTATTTTTTTGCAGTACGCGGGCCTCTCACTGTTGTGGCCTCTCCCGTTGCGGAGCACAAGCTCCGGACGCGCAGGCTCAGCGGCCATGGCTCACGGGCCCAGCCGCTCCGCGGCGTGTGGGATCCTCCCGGACCGGGGCACGAACCCGTGTCCCCTGCATCGGCAGGCGGACTCTCAACCACTGCGCCGCCAGGGAAGCCCTAGAATATTTACAGTTTTAAGTTTTACATGTAGTTCTATTCCATTTCAAGTTAAGTTTTGCATATAGTGGTAAAACACTATTTCTAACTGAAAAATAATACTTATACGGAAAAGTATCAAACCATTGGTATACAGTTCAACGAGTTTTTACCAACAGGCGGTGTAACCTGCACCCAGAGCGAGAAAGAGAACATTACGAGCAACTCAGAAGACCTCCTGAACTTCCTTCCATGGAAAAGCTTTAAGCAGAGAAGTGACAGGAAGTGTCCCTCTTAGACAAAGGACGCTGGGAGGGGATGCAAAGGGTTCATTAGTAGGCACAACGTTGCTCACTGCTGCATCTTACTGGTCTGTCTGTTTTGGAGGGGGGCATCTTTGGCACCTACTACACTGTTCTCCAAGGCAGGTACTTACTGTTTACTGGGCAGATTGATCTTCTACATGAATGTTAGCGCCCACAGAGTGATACACCAAGTCTAGAGCAACTCTATGTAAAATTCGGAAGTCTGCACATAAAAAACCCACACAGGCTTAAGTACAGAAAGAAGATACTGACCTGAGCTTGGACTTTGAGATGGCTTGACTGAAAGAAAGACAAAAAAGAATATGATTCCTGTTAGGAAGTCTTGAGGATACGCTCCCCCCACATTTCAGCAGAGATATCATAAAAGCCATGCACGGAAGCCTGGATCCAGCACCCCCGGCTCCCGCAGCGGGCCAGCTGGGGTGAGCGCCGAGCAGGGGGCCAAGCAAGAGAAGACTCTTAGCTGCCTGAGCAGCCCTGGCACAGGTGGTGATGCCAGGGGTTCTTCTCCCCTCACCCAAACTCCTCACACTGCAGCCAGCAGGCCCTCTCCTGCCCACGGCTCAGCCTCACATCTCAACAGCAGCACATGGAGCCCTGGGCTCGGAGTCCTGGCTCTGCTCGTCACTCACTGCGAGAGCCTGGGCAAGCAGCGCACCTTCTGGAGCTTCACTGCGCTCATCTGTAAAGCGGCGAGACAGACCCATTCCCCGCCTACTTCATGCTATCGTAGGAGGGCAGAGCAAGAGAGAGGAGGCAAATCTACTTCAGAAACTGTTGAGTTTCCTGCTCCTAACACATCGTTTTTATGAACCTCTGCCAAGGAGATCAGATTCTCTTAAAGACGACACCTGTACTCAACAGACATAAGACCCAAAGGACACCAGCAGAAAGCAGACAAAACCGCATGGGCCTCCCCCAAAAGCAGGCGATGCTCTCTGCACGCTGCTGGTGCACCCGCTGCTGCCGCCCAGCTCGTCTAGAAAAAAGCCAGTGGGTGTTAAAGTGATGGCATCCTCCACGGTTAGGAGAGGGCGGTGCAGGGCTCCAGACAAAGTGCGTGAGCCGAGGACGGCCAGGGTCTTGTTATCCAGCCACTATACATGAGGTTGGGAGACCCCGTGAGTGAAGGAAACTTAAATACGTAGCACATTCTATTCTGCCATACAAGCCCTTCAAAGCACTGACGCCAGCACCAGGCTCAGAGAATCAGGCCTTTTACCCCCACCGCCGACACCCAGAGGGCCCGGCCTTGGTGGCGCCTCTTCTTCTCCACCAGCACCTAGTAGACACAGGGGAATTGCTGGGTTACCTGGCTCAGCCCGCGGCAGGCTCCACCTCAGCGGGACAGACCGCTCTGAGGGAAGAGGCAGGTGAAATGCTGGGGGTCTGGGGCATCTGGGCTAGGGGGAGGACCAAGGGGTCCAGGGTGAGCCCGCCCCACCCCTCTTGCACCTGAGGCCATGGCTCCAGGGCTCCCCTGAAATCTGGGTGTCTTCCTCATATCTGCTTCTCTAAGAAGCCAGGAGGAGCTGAGAGTTCAGGGCACCCCCCCTCCCACCCCACTCACCAGAGGCTCCCACAGCAGCCTTGGTTCTCGCCTTCCCCACTCACGTTCTCCGTGTTCACAGACTCCGTCTCACTGGTGGGCATGCTGGCTGTGGGGAGAAGAAACGCTTTAAGTGGTGCCACGGATGCACTGTGCGCCCGGGGACGGGACAGATGTGATCTCTGCCTCCAGGCTGACCATTGGGGAATCTGGCAAGAGGGCGAGGAGGGCGATGAAGGGTCCTCAGGGGTTTGACTGGCAAAAGAAAATGCCAAGAAGCCAGGCGCCTCCACAGCGGGGAGCCCTCATTTCCGTGATCTGCCGAGGACTTCCCACAAAGTCCCCCGACAGGAAGAGATCCTGTCCATCCAACTTCCCAAGAGAAGAAGCCTGGGGACCAAACTGAATCCTGCCGCTGTGCCTGGAGCCAGCTTATTCTTCTGATTTCCAGGTTTGTGCTGAGAGGCCATCAAAACATCTCAGTTACAGCTACATCTTTTCTTGTCCCAACAAGAAGTACTCGAGAAAATCTGTAAACAAACCTAATATTTCACAAATTCTTATTTTAAATATACTGAAGGAGAGGAGGTATTATAGAGGGAGGAGTGCATGAAGGTACCAAGCATAAAATCTTTTTAAAAAATTAAGAATTTGACTCATTTTCCGTTAATCTATCTGATGTTCTTCTGCCCAGCTTGTGAAGCCAAGATGCAGAAGGTGCCGACCAAAGACACCGGCACTAGAGCACCAAGAAGTAGTCTTATGGGGAGAAGAAGGTTTTCTCCCAGCCAGCGACCAGAAGGCAAAGCTGCCTGTGGTCCCCGTGCTACCAGGGTCTCTGGGCACATCTCCCTCCCCCATAGCACGATCCTGAGCAGAAGTGAAAGAAATGTTGAAATGCACCTGCTAGTGTCAGGTGGCCCTGGGACCCACCCAGAGCCACCATCTGGCACACGGGTGTTTTTTCTCCTCCACTTGATTCAACCCTAGAAACATCACGGACGTGTGCTGGAGACCAGGCAGCAAAGGAGGTGCGGGACGCAGAGAGGGACTGGGCTCTGCACCTGCCCTGGAGGGCCCGTGGGAGAGGCAGCCCCCCGGTGGACTTCAACCTACTGTGACAAGAGCTACCGCAGGGGTCTGAGCAAGTACGGTAACGACTAATTCTGCTCTGGGGTTAGGAGAGGTGGTCAAAGGTTGAAACACAGGAGAATCACCCGAACCCATGCACTTCTTCTATTCCTTGATGCATAACTTTGAACTGCAGTGACCTTATGGTTTTTATAGACCTAACGGTGCCAAAAGGAAACCCTTTCCCCCTGCAAGCTCTGCCCATATGGTTCCTCTTAGGAAAGACGCCTTGGTTTCAGCTGTAAAACCCGGCAGTGGTGCCTGGAGTGCTGTGGGGTGGAGTCTGAGACCAGCTCAGGCACGCAGGGCGAAGGTGCGGGACCAGCGAGCTCTGTCTGTGCAGTGCACGCCTGCGGACCCTGCTCAGTGGGGAGACAGGGTGTGAATGGCAAGGGTGGACGCAGACCTGACTCGAAGGGCCCAGAGAGCTGAGAAACATCTTTTCTGAGGCACCGAAGAAGACCCCTTCCCTTCTGTGAGCACCCAGGGAACTGAGCCTGCTTGCGAGGGGTGGGGCTCAATAGCTACCTCCAGGCACATTTAGGCAAAGGTTTCAAAAGTGAAGACAAAATGATCATTACAGACCCATATAACACAGCTGGTATCCTCACAGAATAACCTTTTTCTTCCTTAGTTAGGTCGAAAGAAACCAGCTACAAACTCTGACTCACTCTCACCATTCCATGCAAAAAACAGACAAAAACACTGCCCGCCCGCAAGAAAAGAAAGCCCACAATCCAATCACAGGAAAACCTTTAACAAAAAGCTCCATCAAGAGATAGAAACACACATACACAGGAGGCTGCTCATGCAATTCACTTCTCCATCACTGTTCCATGCTCTGACTTCAGCAGAAAGAGTAAAAAATCCTAAGAGTCAGCCAAGTTCATTGTCAGAGGTTCCTCCTACAGGGTCACCCTTATCTTCAGGAACAGCACAAAGAAAATCATGGTGGGAGACCCTTACAAACGTGAGCATGAGTCGTCTTTGTGGAATGTTTTTCTTGGTGCTTAGTGCCACCACTAAGAGGACAGAAGTTGAGAGCAGCATGGGGCGGGGGTGGGGTGGGTGGGTGAGGGCCCTCGGCCTCAGTTAGGTCCTGGCTCTGCCCTGGGCAGTCCCACCTCTCTTCAGGCTTCAGTGTCCTGCCTGTAAAGTGGGGACACTATCTCTAGACTCCTGAGGGTCACTTCCATCTCTAACAGTTTGCCACTTCATGGTTCTAATATTAACCACTATTAATCATACTGTAACTTCAGCCACTATTTCCGAAAGAGCAAACTTCTCCTGAACGGGCTAGAGCTTTGCGGCTTTTTACTCCCGTGATGACATCATGAGTTGCTGCATTTCATTCCTAAAGCTTGTTTCTCAAATGATCTGATCCAAACAGATAAATTACACCACCCTGCCTATGGGAAGGGGGGTGGGGGGGGGAGGGGCATCATTTTGCATTTCTGGCTCTATGTCAACTACTATTGACTGAAATGTACAAGCTGCTCCCTGGACTAGGGGTGGGGGTGGGGAGATAAGAAATAAAACTGAACTCCGCAAGCAGAAACTTGAGGCTGCACTGGGGGAGAGAATCCTCCCGCTTGCCAAGCGGGCTCCATCCTTCAGGTGGGATGGGACAGTGGTTAAGGCGGGCTCTCAGGTTGGCCGGGTCTAAGTTTAACTCCACACTTGTGACCGAACATCTCCAAGGCTTCATTTTCTCATCTGTAAACTGGGGAGTACTTAACCTCACAGGGCTGTTGGCAGAACTGTAAGAGGTGAGATACAGAGTGGGTCTGCAGTGTCGGGCCATCAGTGAGGCCCATAAATGATGAATCCATCATCTCAGAAAAGCTTTCCTGGAGCTCCCTGGTAGCAAGGCGGCACTCCCTAGTTGGTCCAAATCCAGCGTCACTTCGCCCTGCCCACTTCTACTACTGCACAGAGGATTCTCTTTTGAACAGCCTTCCGCACTTCTGAACCAGCCTCGGCCAACACCCGTGGTTTGTATCTTTTCTGTCTTAAACTGAGTTATTTCTAATCTAGCCTGTTGTATGGAAAGCAACTTTTCTGGCATCACTGTTTGACACCTACGGAGCCATAGGTCCCTAATAAATAAATCTGTTCCAGAATCACGTCCCTAGGGCTCAGGAGGAGGAGAAGAAGGGGCAGGTGGGGGAAGAGAGCAGTGACCACTCTAGAACGTAGTGACCTCATTTGGTCCTGGAAATGGATCTGGATCCAGTCCCTCCCCCCAGGTCGAGGAGCCAGGCTCTGGCTGGGGCCCCGGCACCCTTCCCGTCCACTCCAGCCTCTCCCTGCAGCCAAAGGAGTGTTTCCTTTTCCAGACATATAGAAGACACAGGGCCCAGTGGGCATAACCAAGGAGCTTGTTTGTACATTAAAACATTTCACCCTTCACTTGCACCAGGCATTCATTTTCTTAATGTTCATAAATTGATATGGATTTCACTTCACTTAGCCCCAAAAGGATCCCATCTACGTTTTAAAAAATCAAGACAGGAGAATCACAGACTGTTAGAACTGGAAGGGGCTTCTGAGATGACATGAACAAACGCTGTGATTTCACAGATGAGAGAACTGACCCACTTGCCTTGGGACACGCAGCTCAGATGTGTGAGGAGAAAGCTCTCCTGAGTCCCTGCCACTGTACCACACCACCCGTGTGGCTTTGGTACATCCTTAAATATACTGGTGTATGTTTCAGTATTGGTACATGTTGGTACGTGTATGGGTATATACTTAAAACTCCATAAATCAAAAAGTTCCAAAAACCAAGCAAGCGTGTTACCCACCAGCCTTGGTGTCTGGTCCTAATTAGCCAGACCACTTCCAGGAGATCAGCCCAGCAAATGTGGGGAGTACAAAAATGCAGGTGGCACAGGGACTACTGGGACTTCATAAAAATGCAAACAGAAAGAATTATAAAAGCCCAAGTAAGTAAACCCAAGGACGAATTATCAGAACAGGTGCCCCTCTCCCTAACCGGCTGCCACAGCATCAGATCTGCCCCGTTCAGGGTGACCTCTCTGTCGCCTTGAGCAGGGAGTCAGCATTCACTGATGACCAGCAGCTAGGCCTAAGTAGGGCTGCAACAGAGAGACCCCCTCAGACCTGCAGGCACCAGACCCTCCTGCAGAAGAAGCCGGGGTCATCTGCACGCAGAGAGGCTATTAGTCCTTTTCCTTTACACCTTTCAGGAAACTTTAGAGCTTTGTTGAGGAAGTTTTCATTTTTAAAATATGAATTTGAAAACACTTTTCAATGACTCCAGCTGAAACCAGGCACTAGAACAAGCCTGTCGCCTGTGCCAGAATGCTGACTTGCCTGCAATCTGCCTGCGGAAAATCTGGGGTAGCTCAGGGCCTATGCTTTGCAGTTGATTCCAGGTACTGGGATCTCTGGGGAGAGCTCCAGGGCAGACCCTCAGGCTTTGAGTGTGTGCGCGCTGAGAAGGGGCCCAGAGGTGCTGCCGTCGGCGAGGGGATGGTGCCAGCCAGCCAGGAGCCCAGCACACCCTGGACCGCAAGTGAGAGTTGCCAGGGCCACCCAGGCAGCCTGGGCTCGGCCCCCGCTGGGAGCACTCTCTGTGGATAGCGGGTCACACTATTTCTCTTTAGGATCTAATTGTAGGGCCTGGACGCCATCATGGGTAATGCCACACAAAATAAACCAGGGGAACACGCTGTTTCTCAGGCTAGCACAACACCATCTTCACCAACGTGTAAACATTCCTCTATCTACCTTCTCTCTGAAGGACGACGTAATTCTCAACTATATCTGCCTGGTTTGTGAATTCAGAGGGAAGTCAACACACAAATACACGCATGCACACGTGCATGGGTACGCACGCTCAGGGGTCTGAATGAGTCTCTGTGTGGGTCCAAATAGGCAGCCCCCAAATTATGTTCACTACTAACAGGCACAGCAAAATCTCAGACTAACTTCCTTGAGTGACGGAGGCTA